GAAAATAATGAAAATACCCAATATGAACAGGCACAAATATACTACTCAAAAGAAATAGAGGACATGACAAATTAACTTCAGTAATATGAAAGAATGAGGTGTTCCTTGACTTCTTTTGAGTATTATCTATAACTTAATATTTTTCATAAAAATAATAACATGTTATCAACATAATCACAGGGAATCAAATCTATCAGCATCTGTTCCTTCTTGTTATCCATATAATCAACAGTTCATACTTGTACAGTGAACTTTGTGAGACATGTATATCCTGTGTATTATATAAGCTGTACTGTACTCACCCCCACTTCAGTGAGTGAGTTTAGTTTTACGCCACACTCAGCAATGTTCCAGCTATATGGCGGCGGTCTGCAAATAATTGCGTCTGGATCAGACAATCCAGTGATAAACAGCAAGAGCATCAATCTTTGCAATTGGGATACGATGACATGTGTCAACCAAGTCAGCAAGCCTGACCACCCGATCCCGTTAGTCGCCTCTTACGACAAGCATGCGTTACTGAAGATCAATTCTAACCTGGATCTTCACCCCACTTCAACAAGTGATAGTAGATAAGAAAATGTAGAGATGATCATTTAAGTGTGGCTGGTCTCATCTCTAAGATAGCACCTTGTGTTTACAGAGACAGACACACAAGAAAACAGTACAAAGGTCCTAATAACACCAACAAATTATTCTCGTGTCTTACAAACTTCCATAGTGAAAGAAAATACAAAAGTATACCAGGTATATGTCTTTCAAAACCCTGCTTTTTACAAACTTATATCCTAGTTTTACTTTAAGCTTCATATTTAGCATTTATTTCTATATACTCTATTATTATCCCTTATTTGTGAAATAGTTAAGATTTATTGTTACCTTAAGATCTATAAACTTACAGGAACTATACAAGGTACTTATGGAGTCTTACAGGTTATATTATTGTTCATATAGCTTAACCTCTGGTCAGAATGAACTAATTAATATCTGCGAAACAAGGCAATTTCATTAAGGCATCAAGTCCCAGCACGTCCAATATAAATCCTAAATGCAATATTCTTGTTATACATTTCCTGCAAAGATACACATAAGCCAGAACAGAACAGGCAGCTCCATCAAGTTTGGTTTCCATACATTCCCTATATCTCTTGGAAATGGCTACATGTCTTTGATCTGATTTTGTTATCAAGGATATTTACCAACAAATGCTGCATGTTTCGAGATGGACACAAGAACCGAGTCACATGATACAAAGAAACAGTTGAAAGGGTAGTAAACTATTCCTGTCAAGATGAATGTCATTTGGTAATCAAGTTCGGTTTCTGTTCTCTAGGATTACGCCACTTTGAAGGGGAGGAGAAAATTATGAAAGTATTTGATTTTTAAAGATGACAGCACTGTCTCGGTGGACTAGTTATTTTTCAAGTCTCTGATCAAACATGATTAATAGGGCTGCAACGATTCGGTTTGATTCATCGAAAATTGAATCTGACACCTTAGTTTCGATTTTTAGTAACCATTATCACTATTTCAATTCAATATTTGAAAACCTACTGAAATTATTTCCACACAGCCAGAATGTAATTTTGACTCCAAACTTGAGCAGTTTCGAGCACTGGAATAAGGCAAAACATAACTGGTTGACGCCGGGCTAATTATAAAATGACAATTGTTAGTAGACATCACCAAGTTGACGATGGATTCATGCTAAAAAAGTCAACTGGGAGAGTTAAATGAAATCTGGTGTTTTTACTTGTATGAAGAATCGAATCGAGGGTCCAATATTGAAAATCGAATCAAATCGAAGTCTGGGTGAATCGTTGCAGCCCTGCATTGATTAATATTATAAACTGTTAACAGTGTTTACTTATGAAATACCACAAAACAGCATACTACATCATCATTACATATTAAAGGATAAATTGACAATCTTTAAGATCATTAGACACTGGTCATTTACTGTGGGGTGTGGGATTGGGTATGGATTGATCCTAGGACCTTAGGATCATACTTTATGACATCCACATTGTATCTTGCTGAAACCTCTTAATGTCCAAGATACAAGTTGTATCACGTAACATAACAAATCTGTATTTTACATCCTCACTGTAACAAGTAACAACCTCAACAGGCTGCCCGACTCAGACAAACATGTCAAGATCATTATCAAATGATTGTGACTGTGATTCCCAAAACAAAAAGTGACATCAAAGGCAGGGAGGAAATGAGTTTCATTCCATCTTTAACAATATTCCAGTAACATCACAACAGGGGACACCCAAAATGAGTTTTGAAAATTGTTCCCATATGTGAAATTAAAACTGGATCTTCCGTGCGACTAGCAACACTTGGCCCCCCAGGCTGCCCGAAGTTTCAAGTGATCCCCAAACATCCAGCGAGGGATTGGTGAATACACATCAGTGTCTATTCCTAGTGACACGCCTGGAGTGGGGATGATCGTAGAGCAATGCTGTGTGGTGACTGTACATTTGGCAATACACGTGTCTGTTATCTCCATGCCTTGTCTGGCTTCTTCTTGGACTTGACTGCAACGTTCACCTTAGCTGCAGGTTGTGGTTTGGCTGTAGATGGTCTCCCAGACACTAGAGAATGTATTAAAAATCTGCTATAAAAATCTGGTAAGATACACTTTTAGAAAACGTAGGACATCCGCACCACATCAGTGTTGTACGGTGTTAGAATCATTTACAGACGTATCTATATAAAACATATCAATCTGATTTCAAGCAGTGTCCCTCTTTGCATTTACATGAGGAGACCGCGTACCGCAGTGAATCATCTCGGTTAAATTTGATTGGTCAAAATTACGCACATATATGTAAACATGGCAGCACAGAAACAAATTTCTTTCAGAAACAAAACTCTGCCTCGACAACTTGTAAACAGTCAAGTAATCAAATTGCTCCATGAATAATGAACGAATTACTACCAGTTTCACTCGTTCATCTTGCCGTAGTCACACTCCATTAAATTCCATTCAGTACTCTAAATGTACTCTTAAATTTTTCCAGTACTCCTGATGTTGAAAAATTATCTGGAGCCCTGCTGTACCATTATGATATATGCCTAGGACCCCTTCTCCACTACAGCTTCATATCAGAAGTCAGAGGCCCCCATCTCTCTCACCACTTCCTCAGCTCATAACTTCCAGTTCATGCGCTCGAAATCATCCAGTCAAAATACTTCTTTTCTGCATAGATAATTTACTTGTTTCATTCATGAGAGAGATGTGTTCTGATCAGATATATAGGGAATCTCTCTTGTTCATTAAAAAAAACATTCTTTCAACTTTGTCAGCTTCTGAACAGTAATAACCAAGTGTAGTATTATACCCTAGCGTATCGTACATATTTGTTATCTGTACATACGCCGATACGGCCCTTATCTGGAGCCCTGGTACAGAGACAAAATACCCTTGATAATCGAGGATTGGCTTGTTATGCTGTTATTCACAATTTTTATTGTCATGATGCAATTACTAGCATTAAGAAACACATCGATGATCAAGTTGATGTTTTGTGATTATGATGTATTGGTTCATATTTGTGGACAGAGCTTATAACATCAGTGAGTGAGTATGGTTTTACGCCACTTATAACATTCCAGCAATATCCCGGCAGGGGACACCAGAAATGGGCTCCACTCATTTTACCTAGTGGGAATCAACCTGGGTCTTTGGAGTGATGAGCGAACGCTTTAACCACTAGGCTACCCCACCGTCTCTGTCTAGGAAGAGAGGTTACTCACCTGTGCTGGTTGAAGCCACTGTGGACTTTGATATAGACTGTCTTTTCATCTTGTCTGATTTCTCAGGTGCTGTTTTTGGCCGTTCTTTTTCATTTCTGTAAAGATGATGGACTCAATATTAGTTCTTACTTATACATGTACCAGGTGTTGGAAATTAACAAGAATGATAAATGATCAAGTCTGGACCAGACACACCAGTTGCTGGTATGATATGACATACTGATCCTCATATTATCAGCCCAATCTACTAAAGGAGTTATTCTCCCTTGGAGTGGGCCTGTGAGAGTTATCTTCCTTTCACTGAATTTGTGGAGAGGTGAGTTTGTGAAAATAAGGATTGCTTCACTCACCTTATATTTTTGGAAATACACAATACTCTGTGAACAATATTTTAGAGTTATATAACAGTGTGTCTTCTTAATGTTGGGAGAAAAATGAAATGAATCTCACAAGCACACTTTGGTCCAGACAAAGCAATAATTATCAGGTCCAATCCCATCTTCAAACTAAACATCATAGGTTTCTGACATGCCTTTGGGATGCAACTTTTTGCAATGAATGTCACTGCTTTTAGATGAACAGAGGCGTGTTCAGAACCGCTTGAGTGCCTCTCTTTGCTAGCTAGCGGCTTCGATCCTGAATGCCAGTGCCCGTTCGAGCCCTGCAGGCCGCAGACGAACCATCCTCACAGCTGCCTCGCCAAGCAAACCAAGATGGCGACCATGTTTAATGTCATTCGTCACCACTTTCGCCCCTTTCGTTCCTTGGTGTACTCCGCCCGAGGCGGAAGGTCGCCGATCCCGTAACCTCCAAAGAAGACAAGAAGCTATTCGACTTGTCACCGTAGAATAACACGAGTTGGTCACGAATGGTTAATATAAAACAAGCCACCACGCGGCTAGTAGGCAATAAGCATGCGTCGTCATATGGCGAAATATCAAGCGGTTCTGAACACCTCGCCTCAGGTCACAAGTGCCCCGCACTCCAAATAGAGGGGCAATAGGTGAATACATTTGGCACTCATCTCTTTGGCACTAATCCAAAAGCATCTACAAATGGTTAAACATTCCCAATTATATCTTTCTGTTCTGAATGTGCTGTCATTAGAGACATTTTCCAAATGTCAGATCTAATATGATCCTGACATTGAGAAAAGGGAAACAAGTACACATAGACAAAGGGGAATAACTCTGCTTACCAAAATAAGACAAAGGGGGAATAACTCTGCTTACCTTGGTGAGTTTCCTTCTGGTCTGATGGGCGAGATTTGTCCCTGAAGTGGCCTAAGAGCCCTGGAGAAGAGAAAGTGGAAGTGACGTCTTAGAGGACCACTGTGTGGAAACAAGGAAGTCGCTTACCATCCACAGACAGCTTGCAGTGCGACAATCATTGGGTGATCAAACATGGATGAGTGAATGAGCAAAATGGAAATCAGATCCAGTGGTTGATAGCCTGAGCAAAATGTGACACTTTTAGCAAGGTGGTCACTAGTACCCATTTTGTTTCCTCATTACGAGTGAGTGAGTATAGTTTTACGCGGCTTATAGAAATATTCCAGCAATATCACGGCTGGGGACATCAGAAATGGGCTTCACACATTGTACCCATGTGGGGAATCAAACGGGGGTCTTCACTGTGACCCCACTGCCCCTTATTACAAGTAACAGGTACAAGAGACTGTATGTAGAAAGAGTTTTAAGAAAGAATATGAGACTTACACATAGGAAACTGATAGAAACGAAGAATCTGTATGGAAAATATACTCCATCATTTACAGAAATATTTAGAGCATTTAAAGTATTTCTTAATATGAATTAACACCATCTACGCTCCTGCAAAATGAGCATTTATTTTTACAGAGCAACTGGACTCTGGACTGAAAAGAAGAATACAATGTTATCACTGCTCCCCTCACCTCAGATCTGTTGCGTGAGCTCGTGGACTGCTGGTTGTAGGTGGCGCTGTTCGCGGGCGGGGTAGGAACAGAACCAAACACAGATGCCTCTGCTTCTCTGGGCACATTCAAGGGAATATACCAAACACAATGATCCTTAACAGTTTTAGTCTGACAGTTACAGGAATTTTTAAATTAATATATTATGTTAGACATTTTAAACCTGATAATGCCAACAAATGAATGGATTACTTCACAACGAAGATCAGAAACGAACTATTGTGGATAGTGTAAATAAATCCGTCATCCCATCGACGGTAATGCTAATGATCAGTTTTGTCAATCAGCCCTACCACTTCCAACTGGTTGACACAGTGGGTATCATGGCTCCTTGAAGCTTTGATGACATTAACAATGTCACTCACAGAAACACCCACTCCCAACTTGTTCATAAATGAATGAGATAGGTCCCAAGGCCGAACCGGTGAAGATCCAGGTTAGAATTGATCTTCAGTAACCCATGCTTGTTGTAAGAGGCGACTAACGGGATCGGTGGTCAGGCTCACTGACTTGGTTGACATATGTCATCGTATCCCAATTGCGCAGATCGATGCTCATGCTGTTGATCACTGGATTGTCTGGTCCAAACTTGATTATTTACAGACTGCCGCCATATAGCTGGAATATTGCTGAGTGTGGCGTAAAACTAAATTCACTCACTCACTCAGCCCAAGGCAGATACCACAACATCAATATGACCCAGGAATTCCTCCAGTATTTGTGTATAAAGGATACTGGGCCTTCTTCTTCCTCTCCATGGCCTTGAGTGTAGCAGCACTGATCCTTCGCTGGGAGGCCCGGACACTTCCCCCACTTGCCTGAGGGAGATATTAATAATGTACCATTATAATGCACTTAGGGACCATTCATAATTTATGGCTAGGGGGGTGATGATCTTAAGGGGGGGGGAGGAGAATCAGTTTTGTACCAAAACATATTTTAAAATTGTGCTTACTTTTTACATAAATTTTAGGGGGTGTCATTCACGTAGTACATGCTTCTCCATAAAAATCATCACCACACCCCACCCACCCCAAAACCATAAATGGTTTTACGCCGCTTTTAGCAATATTCCAGCAATATCACGGCAGGGGACACTAGAAATAGGCTTCACACATTGTACCCATGTTGGGAATCAAACCCAGGTCTTCAGCAAGATGAGTGAATGCTTTAACCATTAGGCTACTCCACCACTGACTGCTGTAACATGCTTTAATTTAATCACTTCGCTATGAACTAAATCCCAGAACAACAAAATATCAGTGTCCTAACCTTGATTCTCTTTCCGTCTTGTACTTCTCTGGTATGAGCAATCAAAGACATTCTCTCGGTTACCGGGATCTCGAAAAATATTTCATGAATATCCAGCAGAGCTGCCTGCAGCTGAAACATCGAAGGTAATGTCATACAAACCTTGATGTTGATTAAGTTACACAAAACACACATGTTGCTCTCTTATAGAACTTCTTGAAGATAATAATCAAATAATAATTCAAAGGCTCTTTTATTGGTAAGGGAATTTAACGTTGTTTTAAACAGTTTTCCAGTTAGACCAGATGTGTCTCTTTGTGTGAGAGAAAACCTGAAAGTGATTCAGGTCTTTGATATTGTGGGTTTTGACAAGGCCATAATATCAAAGACCTGAATGACTTCAGACAAGTGTGGTGCTTAAAACCCCCAAAAACATTATTCTGCCTAAGAATTTCACTTTTTTTAAGACAGTCCAGGACTTTGTTTTATGTTTAACACTGTACTCAGCAATTTTCCAGCTATATGACGGTGGTCTGTACATAATCGAGTCTGGACCAGACAATTCAGTGATTGACATCACCAGCATCAATCTACACAGATGAGATATGATGACATCAACCAAGTCAGTAAGCCAGACCACCCGACCCTGTTCGTCATTTATGATGACACGCAAGGGTTGCTGGAGACAAATTCTAACCGAATCTTCATCACTGAATATTTATTGTACTTTTTATTGACAACTGAATTATCTTGGGTTTCTGCTTTTAACGGAATGTTAACAGATTTGGAACCAATGATGAAAGATGTCTGGCATGATCCGTGAAACGATTTCATACCATCTTCTCACTCAATATTCAGTGTTCTACCTGTGCGATGATCCTCTCCAGCAAGTCTCTGTCCTGGTTGGTGAAGTTTCCTCTTTTGATTGGTGTCTCAGACGAAAATGAAAAGGCAAAGTCTCTTGTATCCTGAAAGATGGACCTAAACCTTAAAACAAGCAACAGAGTGCTGGGGAGCCATTCTCTGGTAACATTATCTATATGCTAACCACAATAAGCGATGTGAACTAAAACTAAGACAGGACAAACAGTTAACCATGGATTTATATAACCACATAACATTAAAATAGTCATGCACTGTGTTGTTGCATTTTTAAGATATTTAACAAGCTGCAAGAGCTATTTCAGCAAGTTTAATCAACCTGACCATACCTTGATAGTCCCTGCACCTCATCTCACCTTGATAGTTACTAGATGATCCTTCACCTGATTTCATCCTTGATAGTTATTAGAAGTTCCTACATATCTCACCTTGATAGTGATTAGAAGTTCCTACATATCTCACCTTGATAGTGACTAGAAGCTCCTACATATCTCTCCTTGATAGTGACTAGAAGTTCCTACATATCTCACCTTGATAGTGACTAGAAGCTCCTACATATCTCACCTTGATAGTGACTAGAAGCTCCTACATATCTCACCTTGATAGTGATTAGAAGCTCCTGCATATCTCTCCTTGATAGTGATTAGAAGCTCCTACATATCTCACCTTGATAGTGACTAGAAGTTCCTACATATCTCACCTTGATAGTGACTAGAAGCTCCTACATATCTCACCTTGATAGTGATTACAAGCTCCTGCATATCTCTCCTTGATAGTGATTAGAAGTTCCTGCATATCTCAACTTGATAGTGACTAGAAGCTCCTACATATCTCACCTTGATAGTGACTAGAAGCTCCTACATATCTCTCCTTGATAGTGACTAGAAGCTCCTACATATCTCACCTTGATAGTGATTAGAAGCTCCTGCATATCTCTCCTTCATAGTGACTAGAAGCTCCTACATATCTCACCTTGATAGTGATTAGAAGTTCCTGCATATCTCAACTTGATAGTGATTAGAAGTTCCTACATATCTCTCCTTGATAGTGATTAGAAGCTCCTGCATCTCTCTCCTTGATAGTGATTAGAAGTTCCTACATATCTCACCTTGATAGTGATTAGAAGCTCCTACATATCTCTCCTTGATAGTGATTAGGAGTTCCTAAATATCTCTCCTTGATAGTGACTAGAAGCTCCTGCATATCTCTCCTTGATAGTGATTAGAAGTTCCTACATATCTCTACTTGATAGTGATTACAGGTTCCTACATATCTCTCCTTGATAGTGATTAGAAGCTCCTACATATCTCACCTTGATAGTGACTAGAAGCTCCTGCATATCTCTCCTTGATAGTGACTAGAAGCTCCTACATATCTCACATTGATAGTGATTAGAAGCTCCTGCATATCTCTCCTTGATAGTGACTAGAAGCTCCTGCATATCTCACCTTGATAGTGATTAGAAGTTCCTGCATATCTCAACTTGATAGTGATTAGAAGTTCCTGCATATCTCACCTTGATAGTGACTAGAAGCTCCTGCATATCTCTCCTTGATAGTGATTAGAAGTTCCTGCATATCTCTCCTTGATAGTGATTAGAAGTTCCTACATATCTCTCCTTGATAGTGACTAGAAGTTCCTGCATATCTCAACTTGATAGTGATTAGAAGTTCCTACATATCTCTCCTTGATAGTGACTAGAAGTTCCTACATATCTCACCTTGATAGTGACTAGAAGTTCCTACATATCTCACCTTGATAGTGACTAGAAGCTCCTACATATCTCTCCTTGATAGTGACTAGAAGTTCCTGCATATCTCACCTTGATAGTGACTAGAAGCTCCTACATATCTCACCTTGATAGTGACTAGCAGCTCCATATCTCACCTTGATAGTGATTAGAAGTTCCTACAGAACTCACCTTGATAGTGATTAGAAGTTCCTACATATCTCTCCTTGATAGTGACTAGACTGACTGAGTTTGGTTTTACGCCTCTTTTAGCAATATTCCAGCAACATCACGGCGGGGGACACCAGAAATGGGCTTCACACATTGTGCCCATGTGGGGATTCGAACCGGCCTTCCAGTGGTGACGAATAGCAGCTTGAACCATTAGGCTACCCCACCGCCCCTGATAGTGACTAGAAGCTCCTGCATATCTCACCTTGATAGTGACTAGAAGCTCCTGCATATCTCTCCTTGATAGTGACTAGAAGCTCCTACATATCTCACCTTGATAGTGACTAGAAGTTCCTGCATACCTCACCTTGATGGTGACTAGAAGTTCCTGCATATCTCACCTTGATAGTGACTAGCAGCTCCTACATATCTCACCTTGATAGTGATTAGAAGTTCCTGCATACCTCACCTTGATAGTGACTAGAAGTTCCTGCATACCTCACCTTGATAGTGACTAGAAGTTCCTGCATACCTCACCTTGATAGTGACTAGAAGTTCCTGCATACCTCACCTTGATGGTGACCAGAAGTTCCTGCATATCTCACCTTGATAGTGACTAGCAGCTCCTACATACCTCACCTTGATAGTGGCTAGAAGTTCCTGCATACCTCACCTTGATAGTGACTAGAAGTTCCTGCATACCTCACCTTGATAGTGACTAGAAGTTCCTACATATCACACCTTGATAGTGACTAGCAGCTCCTACATACCTCACCTTGATAGTGACTAGAAGTTCCTGCATACCTCACCTTGATAGTGACTAGAAGCTCCTCCATATCTCACCTTGATAGTGACTAGAAGCTCCTACATATCTCACCTTGATAGTGACTAGAAGCTCCTGCATATCTCACCTTGATAGTGACTAGAAGCTCCTGCATACCTCACCTTGATAGTGACTAGAAGCTCCTACATATCTCACCTTGATAGTGACTAGAAGCTCCTACATATCTCTCCTTGATAGTGACTAGAAGTTCCTACATATCTCACCTTGATAGTGATTAGAAGTACCTACATATCTCTCCTTGATAGTGACTAGAAGCTCCTACATATCTCACCTTGATAGTGACTAGAAGCTCCTGCATATCTCACCTTGATAGTGACTAGAAGCTCCTGCACCTTCTCAGACTTCACGAGTCGACGAGTCAGAAAACCTTTGGCAACAGCACTGATTCGGTCGAACTTGGGCTTCATGTGTGGAGCAAAGGCCTAAATACAAAATTGTCATATACATGACAAGGTCTTCGGCTACATATTTTTCATTGTTTTGGTTCAGATTTGACTGACCAAGCAATGTAAGTAAATACTGACCCACACATAAAATTAACTTATATTCATCCAAAATTCAGTGAAACAAGAATTGTGAAAAATATGGCCTCAGGCAAACACAGTGAAATTAGGAAGTGAACTATAATATCTAACTAATAAAATTAATAAAATAGGTTCTAAAATTCCACATTTACATATACAGGCTTTGTAGTATACTTGGTCCCGTATCCCCATTGTGTGTACTACTGGCTTTGCTAAGTGTGCAATTGGGAAATGCACCTATGTCAGTTGACAAATTTGATTATTATTCAAGAGAAAAAGGAAGATGCTAAAATGAGATACCCACCTCATCCGGTACAACCACCGGCCCTGATCTACGTGGAAATGGTGCCAACTTCATCGGCGAACGTAGAACAGGTCTGTACACTTTGGGACTTGCAGCTTCTCTCTTGGTAAACAGAGCTTGTTTAGTCGAGTTGAGTGAGCTCCTGCTGTCATTATGGCTCAGTGATGGATGTGATCCATGATGTGATCCATGATGTGATCCATGATGGGAAACATTCTGCACCTTGATCTCAGTCTGATCCAAGTCCCCAATGCTCTGGCTTAACATCTTCCCCTTCTTCATGTTCTCCGGAGCATTCTCAGCCAGGAAGTTCTGCTGTTCCTTCAGCCGCTGTTGGTGTGCCTCCACCTCCTCCTGGAGCAGGAGCTGCTCACGCCGCTGCTGTACGAACAGCTCCTCCAGTTCCTGCCGCTGCTGAGACATCATCTGTTGCCGGAACATCTCCATCCTGCTTGAGTGGAGCTTCAGGATGCTCTCAGGATCAGCATCAGGCATGGACTCCATGCTCTCTATGAGGGACTGGACAATACTCACACTGTCCAGTACGTTGTCATTCGCCATCCCATCACGACCTACTTGAGGTTCACCTGCAGAAGTTGCTGGGAAAAATCCTTGTGTGAAATTTTGTCTTTGAACATGAGACAGGTATCTGTTAATGTGGTCAACCTTAGCATCAGCTTCAGGACCTGGTGGCATTGGAATATTGATAGGCTTTATCTCTTCTTCCACTTCTTCATAGTCCAGCTTTCTCTGTAAGACTTTGCTATCAGTCTCCTCGGCATCTGGAGGTACATTCATTACCTGCGGTGGAGGAGTCCTTCTAGCTTCTACAGTGAGACCATGTGAGCGAAGCAGTACTGGAGAAGGCTCGCTTAGAGTATAGGAACCCCTCCGAACATGTCCTTTCTTGGATACTTTCTTCTCTGTTTCACTTGGTTCTGATTTCTGGTTAAAAGATACCTGTTCTGCATGACTAACATCAACTTGAGGAGCATCACTCCCAATAATGTTTCTAATGAACTGTCCTATGTCTGAACTCGCTGAATTAATAGGTAGAGGACCAGAAAAACAGCTTCCATCCTTAGAAGCAGCCATGTTGTCATACCTGAGCGTGCTGCTCTCTGATTCCGATGTCCCAGTGATAAAGTTGGACTTGACGGAAACTTGTGACTCAGAAACACTCTTCTGGACACTGGATGCTTGGCTCTCACTGAGGTTATTATCTGACTGACACGAGAAGTAGGAGTCGGTGACGCTAGGCTGAATGCTGTGGGAACTAACTGATGCTTGACTTGAATCTACTCGGTCACTGGACCTGAATGATCCCTGACTTGACTCGACCCTGTCACTGGACCTGAATGATCCCTGACTTGACTCGACCCTGTCACTGGACCTAATGGATGTGTAGGACTCTGTTGAAGTAACTGAAGCGCTCGGCTGTGTGCCTCTTCTTGACACAGGCCTCTGTTCATTCTCCTTGTCAGAAGAGGATACTTCCCCATCCTGTGAATATCCTTGGAAAGGAACACTTTGATCTCCTAGTGGGGAAGGAGTAGATTCCCCATCGGGACTGAACTGGACTCGACTCAGCATACTTCCATTCTGCCTTACTCCTGACACTGGGTGAGAGTCCGATTCTCTGTCCTCAGATCTTGCTGGTGGTTCATCTGTCCTCTGTGACACGGGACTCCGACCTCTCGGGCTGTTAGTCGGTGTCTCTTCAAGTTTCCTCAGAGTTATATTATCTTCCACAGACTGTCTTGTTATTTCAGTAACAAAATTGGCAAAGTGTACAGTGTTCTTCAATGACTTAGGACTGCTTTTGTTACTTTTCTGACTATCAACCGTACTGACTGAGACATTGGCCGAACTGTGACTGGTGTTGGCTGTGCTGGTTGTGCTGGCGGAGTCATTGGGAGAGTGTCCACCACAATCTGTCTGGACATCCGAGTTGACATTGCTCACGAATCCAGACGTGGAATTAGCATCTTGTGACACCTCAACAATTGTCTCCTGACTATCATGGAACACACTGGATGTCTCCGAGTTCTGGCTGTAGTGGGCGGGATTGTAGAACCTGGCCACAGAAGGTTGAGGAGAACCGAGGGACAGTTTCAAGGCTGCTTGTCCAACCTCGCTTAACTCACTACTACTTGTGGAGTTCAAACTATGACTTTCTTTCATATTCAGAGCTTTCGAAAGCCGAGCTAATGTCTGAGATATCTGCTGCTGTTTTACCGAAGTCAACGGGATTCCACTGAAATCTGTAGGCAGGGAAAAATCCTCCAAAGAAGCCAAGTCTGAGGACAAGGAGTCTAACGTCATCAAACCAGGATCATCCCCTGAGTAAAGCTGGGGGTCCATGGTGGCGAAGGTCATTGCAGCGTTGGTCAGTGTCTGTAGGGGCGTGTGATCCTGTCCGGTGCTATACAAGGTGCTTGGATGCGAGGTCAGTGTCCCTGGGGGTATGTGTGTCCGATAGCCAGGCTCCCTTGTAATGCTCTGGTCATCAGCGGAGTGGGAAAAGTTGGATGATAACGTGTCCAGGTCACTCGTATCTGTTGGCTGGAAAAATCAGTCATCTTCTTTAATCATAGAATCACCATGCTATGGTGTCATTTGTTCTGTTAAACTTGACATATTCCAAGTGAAAATTGTCCTATCAACAAACACTTCATTACTGAATCACAGACTGTAATTTTGACTAAATTATAAAAACAGATGCTTCCAACAGTAACAATATGAGTAAAATACACTTGAATCTACTATCCCCACATGGGTACAATGTGTGGAGCCCAGTTCTGGTGTCTCCCGCCGTGATAATGCTGGAATATTGCTAAAAGCGGCGTAAAAAACATACTTACTTACTCACTCACTTACTGAATCTACTATCAAAAGTTTGCCTTTTAGCGACATCTTAAATAGGTCCTAATGTTACTATATGTGATAACAGATGTCAACAAATATCTATGTACCTGTGTATCATTAACAATATTCTGTGCCCTGGCCATAAGACGACTGCGTTGACGAGATTTGATTCTCTTTTCGGTGAACTTGGCTTGGCGTTTCAAGGTCATCATCTCCTCTTTCCGTTTTGCTGTCATCTGTATTAAGACTTGGAGTAAATCTATTTGTGATGATATGTGGAGATATCATTGGACATTGCAATATCAATGATTATTTTCAACCTCGAAAGAGAACACTTTAACCACTAGGCTGCCACTCACTCATGCACGTTTATTCATATCGATCCTAAAGTAATAACGAACTGCCACAGAATTATTACGAAGATTACCTTGGAAAAGATGGACAGTGACAACATGGAGAATGTAGAAAATATACGCGTAACATATGGATCTGCTTAGCTCACATTTAGAGTGACAGTGAGGTAGCCTAGTGGTTAAAGCATTTTCTTGTCATGCTCAAGACCTGGGTTTGATTCCCCTAGTGGGTACATTCTGTGAAGTCCCTGTCATGATATTGGTGGAAAAGTGCTAAAATAGCATATGCCTAATTTTCATCATAAACAATCAAACTCAAGCAAATAAGTCGCCAAAATATAGTTGCAAGCAATGATGAGGGCTCCTTGGCTTTAGTTCTATCTATTGTAGTTGAGGGCAAGAAATCATCGTCTAAAACGGAGCCAGAACACGTTTTTGACAGGCGAGCTGATTTTCCAAATACAGCCGGGTCGCAGGGGTCATGTACCTTTTAAGAAGTTCTGGAGAAGAAATAGTTCCCTCTTTAAAAGGCTGTATCTCAGTTGTTCTTGGGTCTACGGTCAAAACAATTAGTGTTCTGGAATCACCAAGACTTCATCTATCATACTGGCACTTTTGTGCAGAATTTGCACAGTGGTTACTGGACATCAGTTATGGAAAGTTTGGAATGTCTAGAGCTGATGGTTGGAGCTCAGCACATTTGGGGAGCAAACTACTGAAAAACATGGCCAAAAACTGCAAACAAAAATAACTGCCAAACGGTATGTTTTAGCGACTTGACCCATCCAGGCAAAACTGTTGGAAATTCGATTGTGCATCTGTACAAGAGATTTGGAAGTGTTGGAACAATTAGTTCTTGAGATGTTTGCGGTCAAACTTGGAAATTTTGGAATTAATTTTGAATTATCTCCCCTTTGCTATTGGGCCTAGAGTCAAGAGATTTTTTAAGGGGAATCTCTACACCTCAGTGCGCATCTGTGTGATTTTTTGTAAGCGATTAGGGGCATTGCTTTAGGAGTTATGTTTGGTACAAAAATCGGCGGAATAATAAATAATAATAATAATAATCCGAACAATTACAACAGGTCTCCTGCCTAGAGGGTGCCAAATGTAAGGTTGACAGACTGTAGCTCATATTACGAACTTGTACTGGTCTACATTGGTTGTTTTGATCTCTGAACAGAATAACTTATCTTATGATTGATTGATATACCAATATATTATGATGCTTCTGATTTGATATAACAATGCCAGTGATTGGGATATAGAACTTTGACAATGGGCCATTTTCAGGATTATTAGCCATTATTTTAATTTAGAATGGGCTAAAACCCTCTTATCAATAGTAAACTTCAAAATTTTAATGGGCCATTTTTTAACTCTAATGTGCAAAATGGCCCCTGCCTTTCCCAATCCCTGCAATGCTAACATTGTCAGCTTTGTGCTGGCCACCTTGCTCTTAAATTACAGAGCATTCAGATAATGAAAGCACAGGCCCTTGTGTCTTTGCAAGGATTAAAGATTTTGAAAAATTATAAACATTTTGAGATGACCCCCGACTTGAAATGCCTCACAGTACAATACATTATGACAAGGCCGGACACTTTGGTGTACCCCATCTGCCTGCTTTGCCGATCGCTACACTACCATCGCATGCAATCGATTAAAACTTAATGTAAACATAATCATGAATGATTGGCCTATCAATCACCACTCATGACACCTACCAATTCTTTATTGTTCTTTCTGCAAGTCGATTGAATCCCGATTTTGACCCTCAACTAAATGATCTTGACACAAATGGATGACGATATGTCCGGACAAAATGGTGTGCGTGTGCGTGTGTGTGTGGTCGAAGCAAGCCCTCTGATTGGTCAACGCTTGCAAATCTGCACATTCTTTGTAAGTGTCCGGCCTTGTCATAATGTATTGTACTGTGAAGCATTTCGAGTCGGGTGTCATCTCAAAAATGATTTTTCTTATTCTTTAACCTTCACAAAGACACGAAGGCCTGTGAATTAAAGCAACTTGATCACTTACAAAACTTCCTGTTTCATAAAGCAGATCACTTCATGTTTGCCTGTTCATTTAGTCTCTAAGGGACAATCATAGTTTGCTCAAGACCAAGTCTAACCTGTGTATTTATAGTATATTGTCATCAACAATCTATGATTTTTTTTTTTGTGATCGAATTATCGGTATAAAATTTATGACTGACTGAAAACATTTAGGGTCGGATGATGCTAGTAAAGTACACATTTTACCAAACACAACAGCAGCAGCAGCAGCAGCAGCCCTACACCTGAACAAGGGAAATGCAGTATATACCAGGAAACAAAGATGTTTATCATGGTGATAACAGGGCTAAAATTTCAGGCGAAGAAAACTGGAACATTTTTCTGTACTTACAACTGGAGGTAAGATTGGTATTCCACTGAACTTGATGCAGGAGATAAAGTCATTGCTGGAATTTGTGGAACTTGAGCCCACATGATCATATCTGTCCAGTGAGAGCCTCTGACTCTCGAAGTAGCGGATCAGGTCCCCCATCATCAGCAGTGGTGGGGAATTCTGAAACAGTCCATGAAAAGATTCAGTTGAAAGATGTTATGTTGATACGAAATACAACTGATGTTCATGTGATAAATGACTCATCAAGTACTGATTCAAACATAGATATTAATTCCTCTAACAAGCACAAGGCATCACAAAACCATTCATACTTTAACTTGTTTGAGTGGCATTTTAGAAGCTGGGACGTGCAATATAGAACAAACTTTATGGATAACAACTTCTTTTATTTCATGAGTGCAACGTTTCAACACAGATTCTTGTACCATTGTCAAGCAAGTATGACAATGGTACCAGAATCTCTATCCAAAATGTTGCACTCACAAAATAAAAGAAGCTGTTATCCCTAAAGCTTGTTCAACACTCATACTTAGTAGATTATTTTCTGCAGGTACAGAGGTCAATCTGGAACCCTTATTAATGCCCTGGCACACCCAAACTGTATTACTGAAACTCCTGTGTACTTGCAGATACAAAGACCAAGGTCAATCTCTGTTGACATGGTGTGATGCATGCATTTGATCTATAAACAAATAAGTGACTATGGTTTTACGCCACTTTGGGCAATATTACAGCTGGGATCATCAGAAACGGACTTCACGTATAATACCCATCTGGGGACTCAAATCTGGATCTTCCTTGACAAGCGAAAGCTTTAACCCCTTGGTTACCCCCACTGCCCCAATCTCCTGTGTGAGAGTGAGTGAGTATTTTGCTGCTTTTAGCAATATTCAGGCAATATCATGGCCTAGGACACCAGAAATAGATTTCACACATTGTACCCTTGTGCAGAATCAAACCCAGGCCTTTTCTTGTGACAAGCAAACACTTTAACCAGAGTTAACCATGCAGCTTCCCCACCACTCTGTACAAACCAAGGTTAAACACAATCCAAAACAGTACACGTGATAGATACTAGGGCTGGCATAAATCATATTCCAATACATCGCAATACAGAGAGCTGTATTATGATGTGTATTTCAATACACACATGGGCCCTAGATGTCCTTGCATACACAGTTATACTGTCCAAATGGTGAAATAAACACTATAACACTTCATGGCTAAGGGCAAGTGTAATTCTTAAACATGTTAAATGATAACACAATACTGAACCATGAGCACAGAAAATGTGGCCAAATTACATCGTTATTCGCTTAACAGAGTGAGTGAGTGAGTGAGTTAATATTTTAAGTCACATCAGCAATATTTCTGCCATATCGTGACTAACATTCAACAGCAACTAGGATTGCAATGAATCCACTAAGGCGACCATGACTATGATTATGATGATACATATCATAAATATTGGGTAACGAATATGAAAATTGGTTAACAAATATCACAAGTCAGCCAGTCGGTGTATTATTAATATATGATATAGTCAGAGAAATACTAACAAAATATTTATCATGTTTATTTAACATATTTTGACCATGTTGATAGTGTTATTGTTTCACTTTAATGACCAGTAACAACATTACTGTCAAATCAAATATATAAGAGTGTGGGCTATTATCTTGCCTGGCTTGGATATATTCCAATTTGCATATCTCATTTTGATAAATAACACCCAAACATACCATTTCAGGTGAAAAACTCTTTCTTAAAAAAAATAATGAATATTCATTCAAGCAATCACAGACAACAAACAGAATTCATGAAGGGATATGGTTCAATTCACCCAATACACAAATGATTTGTAACCAGAGAATCATAACAGCCCTAATAGGTAACACCTATAACATTATGCAACAGCAGTTGTTGTGTTCTTAATTATTTGTGGGTACAGTATTTGAACATGTCACATCTAGGGACAAACTTATTCATGTTTTTAAAATGTCAACAACACCAGGCTTCTGACGACAGATTACAGGGTTCGAAATACCCCCTATTTTAGCATGCAATGGCACGGTAAATATTGAAATAGCACGGATAAAAAATGTCCTCGGTGCCCTTATGGCATGCCTAAGTTTTTAGAGACATAACTCACCTTTGGTCATTTAATCCCCAAAACAAAACACTTACGCAAATAACAAACAAGCAAAAACATTTATTGACTTTATCGCCCAGGAAATCACTGGAATTCTGATGGATGATGTAAAGAAATCTGGTTGCTTTTCCATTTAGAGTGATGAGTACTGATAGTTCAGTTATTGAACAGGACATTGTGTTTGTTAGATATATTGAACAAGTAAACCCTGTCACTTAGCTATTAAAGATGTTGAGAAAGCAGAACAAATGAAGCTTAAGAAAGCCATCTTAAACAGAAGACATATCAGTGATAACAGAAAACAGGTTACATTTGTTGTTTACTAACAATAAATTTAAAATGATCATCATCATTGCTACAGTCATTTATTCTAAAAACAGGTGGACACACTTGATTTCCGAAAGGCACATTTAAAATATTTGCCTGGTGCCCTAAGGCACACCTCGGAAAAAAATTATTTTATCCCTGTGATTACCATGATCACGATCAGGCATAATTGTAACCAATCTAACACCTGTAATATGAAATCACAGATCAGACCACCATAAACAAGGTAGATTGTAATCTCTTCTCAAACACTCATAGTCATAACAGTAAAAAATCTGTGTAAAAAAATCAAACCCATGGTAATTAAAAAAATCGATAAAATCTCTCCGTATACTTAATTAAGTGCCAACATGGCCACTGTAAACAAGGTAGATTGTAATCTCTTCTTAAACACCCCCAATACTGAAAATCTGTGTAAAAAATTCAAACCTACAGATGGTAAATCAACAAACTATAAAATCTTACCGTATACTTAATTAAGTAAATGTTTGGCGCCGACATGGCTGGGAATCAGTATATTCCAGTACAGGAATCCTGTCGGTGCTTGTGTGTTGTCATGAGTGTGGAGGAATATCTACCCTCTGTGAGTAAGCACCCTGACTGGTGACAGGGGTACACACAAAGCAGTGGGCTAATTATAGAACGCGTGTATGGACAAAGCTGGCAACATTTCAAACTCCCCCTTGTTGATGTAATGTCTGTAGGTCTGACTCACAATACCTAAGGCCAACCCACGGCAGGTCCACTCAGACTCGGGGGTGGAGGCGTGGTGTAGGGAGGTAAACATGTAAACACACTGGACATACCTGAATACTTCCTTTGGTTGTGTTTTATTAAGGAATACGTCATTGATTTGGGTTTGACTTGACTGGGAATGTTGCCAGACATTTGTCATTATAGTCAGACTCAGTCATACTGAAGAAAAATGTCGCAGTTTCCAGAACGTGTTTGTTTGTTGTTTAATAAAGTGGCGTAAAACTAAACTCATTCACATGATGGTGAACTGATGAAGGAAACAAGAGGTGATTGTCATAATAGGTGACTAACTCAGTAACTGGATAGGGTGGTCAGGCTCGCTGACTTGATTGACACATGTCATCATATCCCAGTTGTGTAGATTGATGTGCTCATCACTGGACTGTCTGGTCCGGACTCGATTATTTACAGACCACTGCAATACTGCTGGAATATTGCTGAGTGTGGCGTAAAACTAATCTCACTCACTCACAAAATCAAGATATCAGTGCCAGGAGCACTCAGCAATATTCCAGCAGTATTGCAGTGGTCTGTAAATAATCGAGTCGGACCAGACAGACAGTCCAGTGATGAGTTTAGTTTTAGACCAGTCCAGTGATGAGCATAAATCACATTGTACCCATGTGGGAAATCGAACCCAGGTCTTTGGCGGGATGAGCAAATTCTTTAACCACAAAGCTACCCTGCCACCCCTTCAGATGTGAATACCAACTGCCATAATGCGTTGTGGCCGCTTCTAAAGAGACACACCCACCCTTTCAATTAAAATAATGGTGCCTTTATCAGGCAGTGAATGGCAGACCTTTAGGTTCTCAACATGATAATGCCTTATCAACCATGTGAAAAATATTGTTAATGAAGAAGCAAGATGTTCCAGAAAGGTTGGTTGTGTTCAAGCAGTCCAAACCTTGAGTATACTACTACAAATTATTCAGTCTAATAACATGATGATAACAATAGAAGGGCATGTCACCCTCCATGCTGATGCTAAATGTTATAAAACCGCCTTAGTCACTTAGGAGAGCGTCACGATCAATTTTCAATTATTTCAATTAAAATATGGTACTTGACCACTTGTCTCACTACATGTCACTGACTGGTACTTGCATGCTGACCATGCTGATGCTGATTCATGTTACTCAATAAAACAACAACAGTAAATGATGACTTAAGAATTAGACCATTGACATCGAGGATGGGTACATCAGTGAAGTGTCATCAGCCGGCCGCTTCAGCTGGTTCCTGTGGTAGCATCTGGAACTGCTCATTTGTGACGCTTTTCCAACTTCGTCACAATATGACTTTCCACTGCTGACGAGTCGATACCTGTGAAGGTCTGGGTTAGAATGAACCTTCAGTAACCCATGCTTGTCGTAGAGAACCTTCAGTAACCCAACCGTGGAAGATCGGATCCAGTGGTCAGGCTTGCTGGCTTGGTTGACACATCGGTTCCCAATTGCACAGATCGATGCTCATGCTGATCATCACTGGATTGCCTGGTCCAGACTCGATTATTTACAGACCGCCACCATATAGCTGGAATATTGCTGAGTGCGGCGCAAAACTAAACTCACTCACTCACTCAATCACTCACTCCAGGAATCGAATACCATTCGATCATGTTTTTCAACCAATCAGATTAAAGAACACGGTGACTTTCGGTTTACAATATTGGTTTTGGTCATGACATTGTCAAATAGCCCCTTGTTTCAATTTACACAACATATTCACATGTACAGCCTGATCAAATATCATATTGACCAGATTTAGAAGGTAAAAGAATGATCACATAAGCGTTTCGTCTCTGACTGATGTTTACCTCATGATTACAGTAATAACACATGACAAACAAAAGATTAAATAAACATGATAAACATGTTAAAGCATTGGTATCATTAGGTTAGTATGGTTATCAGTGTTTTAAATTCAACAGGAAACTTGCATCATTAAACATGTTAAATTCAATGGCCTCTTTCATAACTATAGTATTTAACCTTCATTATTTAGGGATTCCAATTACAAAAAGTCAGTCAAGAACAATAGTGTTACCACTAATCTCTATCACTGGTATCTAATGAATAATCCTGACACAATTTTTATACTTGATTCAGAAGGAAGTATAAGACTTATATAGAGACTTAAAAGGAACTGAAAATCTCTGTAACTTTCTTGACATTTTTGTTAAAAGTCCTCAAGCACATGTTTTACACTGGAAATGCCCAATAGGTCATTCCTGTACATATCCCTGCCGAGTGTAATGGACTCTACTAGCTGATGAGAGTTGTCGCTAACAGAGGGCTTTCATATCAGTACAGTTATAGAGGCACTACCACTAGCCTGTAGGATTACGTTTATTCGCATGCACCACTGACCCCCAAAATGATATACTATGCTAGAAGACGATATAAAGCTGATGGTCGGATACCACGTAAATAAGATGTATTCATTAAAGACTATTTGTGTAGAACACGATAACAGCTGATCAACTGTCCCGGACGAATCAAATGTTCTCACCTGACTTTGGTTCCCTTCACTCATTTTCTTTCAGAATAATTCTTGCTGATGTGTAATATGTAAATCCAGAGTACGCATATCATGTTTCCTCGGCCATATTCTGTTCAAAATATGCTCTATCATGTCTGGATCTCCAAAAGCTTTCCTTGCGAAAACGCACAAGTCTGTGCACGATTCGACAACATGTCCTATCACGTGGATATAAAACGAATGAATTAAAGTATCCTTTGCAATTTTGTGAGACTCGTCTATTTATCTTCCTTCAAACAAAATTTTTGCGATAAAACATATATAATTCATGTCTTGGCATTTACCCGTCTGAATCGACATAACATCGCGCCATTTTGAAACAAATGTTGATGCCATGCATCATCGTCGAAGGTTTGAAAGGTAGCCTCTGATTGGGCATTTGCAGAAAGTACTACCAATGAAATTGCTTAACACTTTTTACAGTAACCGGATGTTTACATCGAGTATACTTTAATAGTTGTCAATCATTCCTTAAGAGTAGTAAAAAGCTGTGGAGCAGGGACCCGAAAGCTGTATTACAGAGCATCTGTAAGCTGTCTCACAATCCCTGAAGAACCGCAATAATTTCCGCTTCGCCCAGCCCTTTCTGGAGTGCTAGATCCCTAAATAAAGCAAGTTAGATTTCCTCAGTTTGAGGGTTCTTCATCTTCCTCCTCACTGGTGCTCCTTTACAATGAACACATTAACCAGGGAGACTATATAACGTAGTAGTAGTACATTATCCCTGCATTAACGACTGTGCTAAAAAAGTGGCACCAATGGTGAATTGTCTAAGCAGTCTCAAATATCGTTTAAACCGAAAAACATTAGAAACCATGTACAAACAGTTCATATTACCAGTTTTTGATTATCGCAGTCATATATGGGATAATTGTACTGAACAGCAAGCAGATATACTTGAAAAGCTCAATCTTGCTGTTCGTGGTACCAGCCATCATAAAATATAATTGTCACCCGTTGTGTCGTAGACGGTACCTTCATAAAATGACCATGTTTTACAAAATGGTTAAAAACACTACGCCCAGTTATCTTAGTAACCTTGTTCCGCCTAGAGTATCAGATATCGTTGGTTATAATCTGCGCGGTGATTCAAATCTTCAGACTATAAACTGTAAGTCTGTAAATTATGCGAGGTCCTTTCTTCCTGATACTGTTAAATTATGGAATTCATTATCGGCTGAACATAGAGAATCACCATGCCTATCTAGATTCAAAAATGTACTTTTAAATGATTCTAATATCTACAGTCATTTTGACTTAAATTTCGGTAGCAGATTTTGTCAAATCATACATTCTCGTCTCCGAGACCTTAATGCGCACAAATATGAAAGATTTATATCTCCAACACCATCTTGCTCTTGTGGCCACAACTATGAAGACTCTGCTCATTATTTCTTCTCATGTACTCTTTACGACGATATACGTCAAATTATGTATTTTTATACTAAAGGATTTGACCTAAAATCAATTTTGTTTGGAAACCGAAGCTGTTCCTCGATAGTAAACAAAGAACTTTTAATTTCAGTGCACTCGTTTATAAATTTAACATGCAGATTTGATCGAAAATAATTTCTTCATATGACATATACTGTTTAACAATGATTGGCGTTATTTTTCGTTTTTGCAACATTTATATAATCATTCACATTGTACATTCATTATGACATGTTTACTCTTCCTTCCATTGTATCCCGGAGCGGTATTCATATAAACTTATGCTTGTTTACCAATCCGCTTCCTTTCTTTGGAAATAAATATGTTTAAATCCTATTCAGAGACTAAGCGCAAGTCTAAGCGAGTCTGACAGTGTGCGTATGTGCGCGCGCGTGTGTGTGTGCCCTTAATAAAATCGTTAATTAGAAAGACTTATTGGCTTTTTCTTGTTTCTTAGTTAGCCTTATCTGATACCAGTGTTTGTTAATTGTATGTATATATAAAATACATACACATACGCCTATCCATAAAGTGCCAAATGAACAGTACGTCAGTACGTTGATACAACGATACACCACAGATACAACGTAGTACCACAATGGTTGGGTTTTTTTCCTAGATCGTGCAACATCGTTTGTCCGAATAATTGTGAGGAAAGTGTTTTCGTAGCCTATTCTGCACATCATCTAATATACAAGATCATGAAGGAGTGGGTGAGTATAGTTTTACGCCGCCTTTAGCAATATTTCAGCAAAATCACAGCGGGGGACACCAGAAATGGGCTTCACACATTGTACCCATGTGGGGTATCGAATCCGGATTTTCGGCGTGACGAGCGAACACTTTAACCACCAGGCTACCCCATCGCCCCAGATGATGGAGGATGACGGATCTATGTGATGCAAACTACATGTACTTCCAAGTTCCAGTGATTTGGACTTTGATCTATACGTTCCGTCAGTATAATTAATGAACGTGTGCTTGCAGTGATGAGGACCGGGTGATTCACAGAACACACACCCGCCCACGTTGCTATATACAACTTCTCCATCATCTGACCGCCTCCGTGGTGTAGTGGTTAGAGCGTCCGCCTGGAGAGCGGAAGGTCGCGGGTACGATCCCCGACCGCGTCATACCAAAAGACGATAAAATATGGTACTTGTTGGTCCCTGCCTGGCTCTCGGCATTAATGGGTACAACAAGGACTGGTCGGCTTGGAGTCAGTATAATGTGTCTGAGTGGGGTATTCATGCTTCACTGCGGCATGGTATCTCAGTGGGCTAGCACTATAAAACCAGTTTAAGTCTGTGCTAGTACAAGCAGCCGCACATACACATACACACGCATGCACGTGGTCATATGAGCGAAATATTCTCAAGCACGACGTTAAACCCAATTTCACCTCACCTCACCTCTCCATCATCTAATTACGATTGTTCATCTCCACCGCACGGCAGCTAGATAATTAAACATGTAATTAAAGTAAAGGACTTATATCACTCTTAAACGTTTCCACAACTGGAGATTGAAGAGCTACACCAATAAACATATATTTTATTGACCCAGGTCTGCTTTCAGGATAAAGGAACAGGTTTATTTATGTAGTAATGGAGAACAGCTAAATATTCATGTGGTATGTTCATAGCACGTTGAGTATGTACATATCCTCATTAAAATCAGATCTTAGTTCTAGGTTGGGAAAATGAACAGTTCCATTTTTCAAAATATTTTGAGCATATTGTTGTTAACAGGCTACAAGCAGTTTGCTGTGATACCTTATTTAGGGGTTCAAGGTGAAAATTCATGGATGTCAACTCCTTTATTATGAGACACGCGACGTTTCGGAATATATTCTTACCCCTTCATCGGGAGATCAAGAAGTATGTTCTTGCTTCTTCATCATAGATATAGAAGATGTCATCCATTCATTTCACCGCCCCGGGATGATCCGGGCAAGAATTAGTCTTCAGCAACCTGTGCTTGTGTCGTAAGAGGCGACTTATGGGATCAGGTGGTTAGGCTCGCTAACTTGGTTGACACATGCCATCGTATCCCATTTGCTTAGATCGATGCTCATGCTGTTGATCACTGGATTGTCTGGTCCAGACTCGATTAGTTACAGACTGCCGCCATATTGCTGGAATATTGCGGACTGCGACGTTAAACAACATATAACAACCAAAGCAAACATTTTCACCTTTTATGTGTATCACTTCTAAATACTGTTCAGAGACTTTGTTTCGGAGTTGTAGGAAAGAGGGTGTTGTCATTTAGTTTTTACGAGTAATTTAGTTAGTGAGTTAATGTACGACAAAGGGGTTTTATTGCCATTTGTTTCGGTATCTCAAAAAAGATGATATAAAACATGTTGTGCTCACCACATTAAAAACTGATATCTGCACGACGATTGTGTGAACTCGCCCTTTCTATAAAGCCTACATATTATTTACTTTTTGGAATTATTTACACAAATCGACTTTACAAAACGTGAAAGTACTGCAACACGATAATTTACTTATTGGATGAAATGTTTTCAACAACAAAAAAACGATTGCCAAACAGAAGTTTATAAATGCACCCTTGTGTGAGAAAGTGCATTCTCAAAATTATACGTTTTTCTTCTGTTGATAAACGGAATAAATTCCCCTATTTGTTTGTAACATCAGTAACATATATTTTGATTTTTTTGTTTGAAACTTTCACCCCTTCAATATTAGAAATAAAGATTCTGTGGCCTTTTGATTAGCGTCTTTCAGCTGGTGACGTTTATGAAGTCGCTTCAATGATCTGATACTAACAATACATCGTAGGACACCATTCTTCTGTAAAGAAGTATGGCAACAGCAGGTGCTTGTCAGTATCACATGACCGTCTTCACATGACTTTACAAAGTGTTTACTCGCTACATAATGGGATGATCTGGATTAGAAAGCAGTGAAGATTACCGACAAGCGTTGCATCAAGTTTGAACGTAAGTGATCTGATAGATGTCATAACTCCAAACATGGCTCAGTTTGTTGACAAGCGATAACAATTTGAATAAGACCAGTCATGACAGAAAGTTGCTTGTTAAAACCGGCATGATCATGATGAATTACTAATCAGAAGGGTAAGGAAATCTTAAGTACTCATAGCTGTGAGCAGGATTTCAGATTGGTTAATTTTCTGGGACACTGACTGATTGCCATCTGAAATATCCCGTTGATTATGTTTTTCAATTATCATGAATTATGGTACATATGCACACTAACCCGTTATCGCTATGTAGGTAAAACATAGACCATAGATCTAAACACATATACAGTGGAAGCCCTCTAAACCGGCATTCGGGAAGGGGGGGGACCGGCAAAAATACCGGTATAGAGGGCCGTACCGGTTAAGAGAACGTTTCCCTTTTCATCCTGAGAATGATCTTCCGTGTGCCGCTTTGAACTGTTTGATGTATCCTATACCGAGATCCGATCGGTCGTTTTGTCCCTTCCGAAGCCCGAAGAGGAAGTACCACATATCGCAAGCTCGATACACCGCGAATCCGAGGTGGTATAGACAAGCCCCAGACGGCGATTAACTCCCTACATATCCGAAGACTTAGGAGGCCCTGCTGCAGAAGTGTAAGCCCCATGTTGCTTTCCTCCGAACCGAGAGAAACAAATCCTGGAGCAATCGGGACACACCTTCTAATGAACGCTACCAGATCCCCAAACAGTTTCTCCAACTCTATTTGCTGTGCTTTTTCACCCAGTAGAAGCCGGCAAAATAGTCGATTTCGCCTACATCTACCCACCCCACCAATTTCACCCTCGGCGGCAACTCCTCGAATCATTCTCGATGATGACTGCGATCCGGTCCCAAGGAAAGGCACAACCAATGCACCGACTGTCTCGCGCCACTCTATCGAACTGCCTGCTCTCTTTGGACCCGACAACTCTACGCGCAAGTCGCGGCGCCATCGCGACCGCGTCGACAGCAAGAAATGTGTTCTCTGGGAAAAGAAAGCGATAGACTACACACCCCAGGAGCGACTCCCACCTCGAGGTTCCCGAAGAGATCGTGGTCGACAGCTGTTTCAAGAAATATAGAGAACCTGTACGACAACGCCTGTGCTTTCTGGAGCATACGGTATGCACTCCTCGCCAGCAAATTGGTGGACCGTTGTCCGTGCAAGGAGAAAGAGTCTTGTATCTTCCGGCAGCTATCGGGGAAGCAGAGGTACCACAGGGACGGGCACAATATTTGGCATACCCCATTGCCCAACTATGGCGGACCCAAGGATATGGAAGTAGCACCCTCCATGCAGCGAACACGAAAAGCCGCGAACGAAGCGTCCCAGAAGGAGTCTACATGTGCAAAAGTTTGCTGTAGCGAGATACAAAGGGAAGAACCGGCTGTTGTTGCTACTCGATCCCCGACTGGGGAAACGATTCCAGTCCACGGCTACAAGATACTGAAACGATTCGGGCCGCCGGTGGAATAGAACGCCACGGTTGGTGCGGGAACCGCTTCTGTGCACGCCGCAAAATATGCTACCGCCTATATCGGAAAAAGAAAGACGATAGAGAAGTAGAATTGCTGCTTCCTGACCTTGGGCGAGAATAGGTTCTATGGGTCCTGCACCACAGGGCTAGGGAGAGTAGACCCTCCAACAGCTCGCCTAGTATTTTTGCAGATGCAGTCGCGGGCTGGGGGTTGCAAAGGCGAATGGAGTCGCATTAACTTGTTCAGGCCCGTTTTCAGATTCCAACTGCTTTTGTGGAAATCGTGGTGCGGAAAGTATACCCTACTACATTACTTTTTTCCCCCAAAACGCTGCATACCACTCTCTACTCCATATGGAAGGGATCCCCACGTTTGGTCTTGGGTGTTTCTACCTTCTCTGCCGGTGTGTGGAGGGGGTGCACGAAGGAGGAAACTGGTTTGCTGTGCTTCCAGGTCTTGTACACAACCTTCCAGAGAAAACAGCGGCTAGCTTAAAAGGTAGGTCCACCTTTGGGCTGTTTCTAGCATCTGCCGCACCTTCTGGATATCCAGACGGGTCTCTTCTTGTTCCTCCTCGACGTTTTTCTATTTCATCTTCCTCGCCGTCCTTGTCCAGCATCGACAAGATGTCGACCAACAAATTCGTGGTTTGCTCCACACGAGCCGGGCAACGCATTTGTGGTTTGCTCCACACGGTTTCTACATCGCTGCTGTTTGCTCCACATCGAGCCTCTAGCCTCCCCAAGCGGTCGTGAGAAGTCCTGGACGGTGGGCTTAGTCGGCTCTGCAGCAGGCAATATGCTGCTGGTAGACGGCTCGCTGGGGCAAGATGGCGCAGGCAATAAGCTGCTGGTAGACGCTGCGCTTAGCGCAGCAGGCAATGCGCCTGTGCTGGGGCCAACGCTTCCTCTCCAGTGGTGTCGCTAGACGGTTCCGCGGCTGTGCTAGCGGGCAATACCATCGCGGTTGGTCGGAGGCTCTACAGCAGGCTCTCGCCATATGTCGTAGAGTCTTGTGGACCCAATACCGGCGCTTTTGACCTCGCTATGCTGGGAGCACCCTCGGCGGGAGCGTATTTCTTGGATCTTTTCCGAAGACAAATCTCTTCTTGGTGGCATGGTTGGTTTTTCCTGGGAATATATACCCATACTTCCTACTTGTCTATATGGGAATCCCAATCCTTCCCAGGAATCCCAATCCACCCCAGGAACTCCCAACCTCCCCAGGAAACCTGATCCTAGCAATGCTTAGCAAATGCTTAGCAAATACTTAGCAATGCTTAGCAATGCTTAGCAAATACTTAGCAATGCTTAGAAATGCTTAGCAAATGCTTGGCAAAACAAGCAAACCTCTAGGTTCTGTCTAGTGTGCCCAGTTTGTCTTAGTGTGCCCTAGTTTGCCTAGTCTGCACCTAGTGTGCCCTAGTTTCCCATATAGACAATTTTTTTTTTTTTGCTAATGTAGATATATAGCACAAACCAAATGCCTCCCAAAAGACAACTATCGCAAGACCAGGTGGAGGAGATTCGCAAGATGCGTGAAAAGTCCCAGCACAAGAAACTAGACAACGATTCGCATCGGGTTCCAATCGACCACGCGAAAATATAGAATACTGCCACGGAACCGTCTAGCGACACCACTGGAGAGGAAGCGTTGGCCCCCAGCACAGACGATTGCCTGCTGCCGCTTAGCGCTAACGCCTACCAGCAGCTTATTGCCCGCGGCCATCTTGCCCCCCAGCGAAGCCGCCTACCAGCAGCATATTGCCTGCTGCAGAGCCGACCGCTACCACCGTCCCAGGACTTCTACGACTTTGCTTGGGAGGCTAGAGGCTCGTGTGGAGCAAACAGCAGCCGATGTCGGCTCGTGGTGGAGCAAAACCACAAATGCGCGGCGGCTCGTGGAGCAAACCACTTAATTTGTTGGTCGACATCTTGTCGATGCTGGACAAGGACGACCATGAGGAAGAGGAAATAGAAAACGCCGAGGAGGAACAAGAAGAGACCCGGGCCTGGATATCCAGAAGGTGCGGCAGATGCTAGAAACAGCCCAAAGGTGGACTCTACCTTTAAGCTAGCCGCTGTTTTTCTCTGAAGGTTGTGTACAAGACCTGGAAGCACAGCAAACCAGTTTCCTCCTTCGCGGCACCCCTCCACACACCGCAGAGAAGGTAGAAACACCCAAGACCAAACGCGGGGGATCCCTTCCATATGGAGTAGAGAGTGGTATGCAGCGTTTTGGGGAAAAAATATTGTAGTAATAGGGTATACTTTCCGCATCACGATTTCCACGAAAAAGCAGTTGGAATAATGCAAAACGGGCCTAGACAAGTGTAATGCGACTCCATTCGCCTTTGCAACCCCCAGCCCGCGACTGCATCTGCAAAAAATACTAGGCGAAGCTGTTGGAGGGTCTACTCTCCTAGCCCTGTGGTGCAGGACCCATAGAACCTATTCTCACCTAAGGTCAGGAAGCAGCAATTCTACTTCTATCGTCTTTCTTTTCCGATAGGCGAGTAGCATATTTTGCCGAAGCTGCACAGAAACGGTTCCCCGCACCAACCGTAGGCGTGCTATTCCACCGGGCGCCCGAATCGCTTTCGATCTTGTAGCCAGACTGGAATCGTTCCCCAGTCGGGGATCGAGTAGCAACAACAGCCGGTTCTTCCCTTTGTATCTCGCTACAGCAAACTTTTGCACATGTAGACTCCTTCTGGGACGCTTCGGCTTTCGGGTGTTCGCTGCATGGAGGGGGTGCTACTTCCATATCCTTGGGTCCGCCATAGTTGGGCAATGGGGTATGCCAACATTGCCCCGCCCCTGTGGTACCTCTGCTTCCCCGATAGCTGCCGGAAGATACAAGACTCTTTCTCCTTGCACGGACAACGGTCCACCAATTTGCTGGCGCAGGAGTGCATACCGTGATGCTCCAGAAAGCACAGGCGCTTGTCGCACAGGTTCTCTATATTTGCTTGAAACAGCTGTCGACCACGCATCTCTTCGAACCCTCGAGTGGGAGTCGCCCTGGGGTGTGTAGTCTATCGCTTTCTCCCAGAGAACACATTTCTTGCTGTCGACGCAGTGGTCGATGGCGCCGCGACTTGCACGCTGAGTTGTCGGGTCCAAAGAGAGCAGGCAGTTCCGATAGAGTGGCGGTGACAGTCGGTGCATTGGTTGTGCCTTTCCTTGGGACCCGGATCGCAGTCATCGCCGAATGATTCGAGTTTGTTCACCGAGGGTCGAAATTGGTGGGTGGGTAGATGTAGACGAATCGACTATTTTGCCGGCTTCTACTAGTGGGCTTAAAGCACAGCAAATAGAGTTGGAGAAACTGTTTGGGGATCTGGTAGCTGCCAGAGAAGGTGTGTCCCGATTGCTCCAGGATTTGTTTCTCTCGGTCGGAAAGCAACATGGGGCTTACACTTCTGCAGCAGGGCCCTCAAGTCTTCGGATATGTCGGAGTTGTCGCTGTCTGGGGCTTGTCTATACCACCGGATTCGCGCGTATCGAGCTTGCGATATGTGGTACTTCCTCTTCGCCTCCTCGAAGGGACAAACGACCGATCGGGATCTCGGTATAGGCTTCACAGAGCTTGGTTCCTGGCATATTTCTATATCCATGCACCCACATAGCTCTAACTGGGAGTGCACTGCACTGGAAGCAGCCGAAAGTGGTCTTGTCGAAGGGATTGGGCAAACACTCATTTTCACCTAGGCTGGTAGTAGAATTAGCCCATATGGAAGCTTCTGAGCAAGGTGTACCTATACAGGTTTTTCTTATCATTCCCCTACTACTATCGTGTCTTCCATCGTGCCAGACAACCATCTGTTGCCTCAAACTCGTTGACATTTAATTCTGGAGCAAACTGAATAGCTTTCTCTTTCAAAATAGGGCCAGAAATGGGCATGCTTTTACTGAGGGCAGTCAAAAACCAATCATGCGTCAGTGTTAATTTTGTGAAATTTATTGTTTTCATTCCGGAATAGACTGACGCCAGATTAGAGGGCGTGTAAGTGATCATAAATTATCTAACTTATGCCTAATGTCCTGGTGACATTTTCCTCCAGCAAAATCAGTGTTAGAGCTAAATGAAGCCACAATTATCCAGATCCAAATATTTCACTTGGGATAAAATCACTTTACATTGTTTTGAGTCAGGTTTGAGTTGATGCTATTAACTTGTGTCCCATCCCCAAGCAAAAAGCCATCTCATATACAAACTGATAAAGCCTGAGAGCTTTGTGATATCTTCCCAAACTTAAGTCAGTCATTATATAAAACTTACAGTTACACACCAACTGAAATGTACGTCTAGTACACACAGATGTATGGAGTGGATGCAGAAAATACATGTAGATATTATGTCTCAAGGGATGCACAATATTATTCTTTGCACAAAATTCTTGCCAAGAAATATTACACACTCCAGTAAGTAAAATTCATCAAATCTTACTTTACAGTTCCATACACTGTTTCATTACTTAACACGACCCTCACATTTCCTGTAAGCATGGTAGACCGCCTCAGTGGTGTAGTGGTTAGAGCGTCCGCCCGACGTTAAACCCATTTTCACCTCACCTCACTAGTAAACATGGTAAAGATTCTTGAATTGAGTAATTATGGGTCCTGAGGTTTCTAGGTCAAGCTAAAACCCTGCATCAGAATAAAAAAAATCATGATAAATGACATATAATGATATGAATTTTCTGTTATTAGGAAACCATGAACGCCATCATTTCATTGTGCCATTTCTGTGAACTTCATGGACCCAGAATCTTGTTCTGCACTCAACCCTTTCGGCCTCAAGAACCTCGAAATGAGCTGGATGCCGAGGACTCTGAATCATCATATCCTCGCAGAGTTAAGTCCCCTTCTCTGAGTGCTGACTCACACAACGTGACTCCCTCGCTGCCCAGCATGAAGAATGACATGTGTGAGGTAAGATTTGTGCAAGGATGATCACCTGACTTAAACATACAGATTTTGTTTTCAGTTTCATTCAAACCAAATCTTTTACTCTGATACTGTACCACTGTGCGTGAAGATCTTTGACACCTCCACAGAAGGTCGCCTCTGATGAACTCTACATAAACTTTTACAGCCCAGTGTAAATTTATTATGAATCTCTTGAGGAAGGTTGATGTAAGCTTTCTAAAGCTTTCTAAAATCTTTTACAGAAAAACTTTCAGAGAACACAAATGTTCATTCAGTATTACTCCCTCTTCAAAACAGATGCCAGGATGTATGAAATATGCTGTATGATGGGGCAGCTTCTTTTATTTTCTTTCCAAATGCCTGTTTAAGTTTTGGTCTTAAGTAACACATGCTTGTCATAAGAGTCGACTAACAAGATCGGGTGGTCAAGCTCTCTGACTTGATTAACACATGTCATCGTATCCCAAATGCGTAGAACGATGCTCATGGTGTTGATCACTGGATTGTCTGGTCCAGACTCAATTATTTACAGACCGCCTGCCATATACCGGTAGCTGGAATATTGCTGAGTGCAGTTTGCACAACAAACCAACTAACCAACCCTTTTCAATTTATACATCTGTGCATAAAATAAGTACCACCATGTATTTTTACCAATTAATTTTGTCTGAAATGAAATTCTAAACTCTTTCTCCAAAAATAACCTTTATAATTTGATGGAGCAGGCATTTAACATTTCAAAAACGAAAACATCATTGAAATTAACACGTAATTTAATTAGGATAAATGCCTATATTTAAAACAGGTGTTTTTCTGTCCTAAAACAAGTTACCTTATTTTGAAAAGTGAAATTGAAATTGTTGTGTGGCCTATAAATTCGTTATTTATTGAGAATGGATGAAAGTTTGTAAACTAAGATTTCGGAAAAGTCAAACTAAAAGAAAGAAAAATTTAAAATGCAGGAAAAGTTTCTTTACAAACAAAACAAACAGATTTTAGCTGTAATTATCATTATCTGGCAAGGAGAAGTGTTTATTCATTACAATAAACTCAAAATCATAAAAAATTTGTTCCAAAATCTTATTAATGTGGCCTTTTTCAGTTTTTGTCAATTAGCAATCTGAATTGTTGGAAAAAGGTCTGAATCTTTTATATTCGGGTTCTTCCTGATTATGCATAATTAAAGCTTACTTGATGTGTAAATGTCATCTTGGTACATTACAGAATTGTTATTTTTAGTCAAAACTTAATTTAATTGTTTAGTCTGAGCAGGAGAGGAATGGTTATTTTGGGTAAAAATTCAGTCCCATCACATTTTCATCAACATATTCTTTCATAAAGAATAAAAAAGGTTATGGTATTTGTAAAACTTTCAGTGCATAAAGCTTCTTTAATTACAGATTGATTAAATTGATGGCTATACCCTAACTTTTCTGTAGCATCACATCTTATTTTCAAAATAGGGTGATGCTTCATTAATGCACGGGTGTATTCCAGGGTATATGACATATGCTGTACAATGGGGCAGTTTCTTTTATTTTCATTCCAAATGACCATTTAAGTTTTTGAGATCTGTTGAATTCATTTCTTGCACGATATATCTGGGTATAAGTTTTGTTGTAACAGAAACAATGTTTGCTCAGGAAATAGGCCTGACTAAAATCTAATTTATTGTGCCTTTACTTGATTATCCTTAAAGTGTTTATTACGTTAAATATGTCAAGTTTACAGACTTATTTCCACTGATGCATTAATTACTGACTGTAGCTCCACAACAGCCCATGGGTCATCATAAAATGTGAAATCAAGCTCCAGGCACTGATATCTTGATTTTGTGAGTGAGTGAATTTAGTTTTACGCGGCACTCAGCAATATTCCTGCTATATGGCGGCGGTCTGTAAATAATCGAGTCTGGACCAGACAATCCAGTGATCAACAACATGAGCATCGATCTGCGCAATTGGGAACCGATGACATGTGTCAACCAAGTCAGCGAGCCTGACCACCCGATCCCGTTAGTCGCCTCTTCTTACGACAAGCATGGGTTACTCAAGGCCAATATTCTAACCTGGACCTTCACGGGTTCTTGAATTTGTATATTTGAACACAGTATTCCAAGCATGTGGAGTGTTCACATCTGAAAATAACATTTTAGAAACTTTCTTTGGTGGCAGCAAACAGACCCAACAGATAGCACAAAGACAACATGTTGTGATGTTAACATTAATTTGCATATTTTATCTGATTCTTTGACTTGTTGTAGGGCTGCTACTCAGTTCAACCTGGGTATGTGAGCAATGACGAGGAAGCCCATGTGAGCTACGTCAGCACGCAACATCCTTACCACCCACAGGTGTTCAGCCGCATCCGACAAGCTTGTATCAGGAGTCTCAGCTGTGAGGTACAGAAATATTAGTAACCATGGTAACTTAAGTATCACATGTTGTAGAAATAGATTGTTGTTAGAAGGTATTGACTGTGTATTGAATTGAATGAATGTACACTAACTTGGATTCTATTGCAATTTGGCATACAAGATATTTTCAGAAGAACAGGGTTTTTTTGCTGTTAAAAGTGCTCTTCAAGTATTGGAAAGAGTTTGCGCCAAAATCTTCTTGATTTGTCTGATAATGATGTTTTATCTGTCAGGATTCTAAATTGCTCATGAGGTTCAAAGTTTGGAGGTGAGGTGAAATTGGGTTTTACGTCGTGCTTGAGAATATTTTGCTCATATGACGACATGCATGCGTGTGTATGTGTATATGCGGCTGCTTGTACTAGCCCAGACTGAAGCTGGTTTTATAGTGCTAGCCCACTGAGATACCATGCCGCAGTGAAGCATGAATACCCCACTCAGACACATTATACAGACTCCGAGCCAACCAGTCCTTGTTGTACCCATTAATGCTGAGCGTCAGGCAGGGACCAACAAGTACCATATTTTAACGTCTTTGGGTATGACGCGGTCGGGGATCGAACCTGCGACCTTCCGCTCTCCAGGCGGACGCTCTAACCACTACACCACGGAGGCGGTCTCAAAGATTTGAATGTCTATGACCTTTGTCACTTCAAGCTCTCCTTAACATTAACACGGGTCAGAATCAGGGCGGTGGGGTAGCCCGGTGGTTAAAGCTTTCACTCATCACGCCGAAGACCTGGGTTCGATTCCCCACATGGGTCCCCTGCCCTGATATTGCTGGAATATTTGTAAAAGCTGTGTTAAACTGTACTCACTCACTCACTCCAGATCAGAATCCTGGGTGAACCTAAATACATTTTCTGTTTTGTGCTAAAAACAAATTGTACTGTGCGGCGGAAAGATTTTACTTTGTGTATTTAGAACATGTTATTTCAGATCTTCCAGTCTTTCAGCGTAACTAGGGGCGATGGGGTAGCCTAGTGGTTAAAGCGTTGGCTCGTCACGTCGAAGACCCGGGTTCGAATCCCCTCATTGGTACAATGTGTGAAGCCCATTTCTGGTGTGCCCTGCCGTGTTGTTGCTGGAATATTGCTAAAAGCGGCGTAAAAGCAAACTCAGTCAGTCAACTTATGACTGATTCTTAACTCAATCTTAATTATTACAGGTGTGTCCTGGAAGAGAAGGACCCATATTCTTTGGCGATGAACAGTATGGCTATGTTTTGAGCTACACATTCTACGTGGAGGACTCCCAGGCTCGGGGGCTTCAGCGTTCATACAGCATCGTCATTGTTATGATGGACAAGATCTATTTGTTGAATTCGTGGCCTTTCCTAGTGCCTCATTTAAAAACACTGAAAGAAAACCTTCAAGCCAGAGCACACAAAGTGTACACGGAGGAGCAAACAAAATGTCCGCAGACGACGCGGACTGAACCCGTCCATCAACCCCGCAAACTTTATCCAACAAAGGGGTGGTAACAAGCCTGCCCGGTCGTTGGTTGAACTTACAGGTCACAAGAACGTGTTTAAAGTGTTGCATTTCTCATTTATATGGATCCTGAAAGCGTGTGGGAATCGGATGACAGAGACTTTGCTGGAGGGACCCCCCCACGGAGGATTCCATCATCGACATGGAGAAACAGGAGGGTGAGACATTGTGAGAGGGTCTTGGACCCATGAATGTCTTGGTTAGAAATGGTCTTCAGCAACCCATAGCCGCCATATAGCTGGAATATTGCTGAGTGTGGCGTAAAACTCAATTCACTCACTCAGCAACCCATGCCTGTCAGAAGTGGCAACTAACAGGATCGGGGGGTCAGGCTCGCTGACTTGGTTTATGCATGTCATTGTATGAGAAATTGTATAGATCGATGCTCATGATGTCAATCACAGGTTTGTCTGGTCCAGACTCGATTATTTACAGACCGCTATCATATAGCTGGAATATTGCTGTGTGTGGCATTAGACAACAAAATAAACAAATCTTGGGATCAAATTGAATAGATATCGGTGAGGTTAGTTGTCACATGAGCCATATTCTTGTTTGAAATTTTGGAAAAATGGGTGATTGGTCTGCTTCTGTAATTGCTTGTAAACCTTAGACACTCAGGTGGCCCATAATTCACTATGCAGAGTTATTCCCCTTAGACATGTCGTGATAGTGGAGGCCTGATCCCAAGCTCACCTTGATTATGATCACTGGTTTGTCATACCTGTGTTTCACTGTAGTGGTAAATATTAATGCTGTTACCATTCACTTGTGCATTTGCTGAATAGAGCCATATACCTTCATGGATTCAATTTATTAGCGATCACTGGAATCAAACATTCTTGAATTTTTTAAAAAGGAGTGTTTTTTCTTGAATTTGGGTGTAAATTTTTAAAATGGAATATATTCAATCCAGGCAGGATAATAGTTAACACTCTTATATATTTATTTTACACTGGGATCACTGGTTATTGTCGTGATGAATTAGTATTATTCAGCATGGTCAAAACATGTCAAGGAATCTATTTTGTTAGTGTTTCACTGAATTTTATGACTTGTTATTGTATTCATTACCAAATATTTGGATTTGTTGGATCCCTTGTAGATAGTTATGTAAGGTTTTAGGGTGACCTTGCTCCTCAAAAGGCCTATATGCGCCCAAGGAGCCCTTGTAAATATTTGTTAGAGTTGTGTCCCTTTGCAGTGTCAAAACAATTTCTTTTATAGTACATCTCAGTCAGCTTATGATAATCCTCATAACAGTAATTCTCATATATTAAAAGTGGAAGTGGGATAGCCTAGTCATGCAGAAGTCCCGGGATCAATTCCCCACATGGGTACAATGTGTGAAGCCCATTTCTGGTGTCCCCTGCCATGATGTTGCTGGAATATTGGTAAAAGTGGCATAAAACTTAACTCATGTATTCACTCTCATATATTACTTGCAAGAATTACTGTGATAATTAAATCTGTACATACAATGGGTCGGGATAGGGTTGTATGTCTGAGAAACTTCTCACATAGGATATCAGGACAGCCAATACTGTTTTCCAGAGACGGAGGAAGGTTTTATCAAGCTGTATTCACGGAAGATCAGCGATAATCAGGCTGAGCAGGTGGCGTCGGAGGACGAAGGCTGCATCGACAGCGATACAGAGCAGGAGTACATGAGCAAGGCACCGTTCATTAAAGACTTGAGACTGTTCCGCAAGGTGAGGAGATCAGTGCTTTGATCATTTAAACATCAGACACAAACCCTATATATGATCCGTGAAGATCCAGGTTAGAATTGGCCTTCAGCAACCCATGCTTGTCGTATCGGGTGCTTAGGCTCGTTAGCTTGGTATCCCATTTGCTCATGCTGTTGATCACTGGATTGTCTGATCCAGACTCAATTATTTACAGACTGCTGCCATATAGCTGGAATATTTTTGAGTGCTGTGTAAACAACAAACCAATGCAAAGGGTAATTTTGCTTGTTGGGACAATGAAATTATATCGAGATATCCGAAATATCGAGACATCCGTATCAAGTTAAAAGAGCTTTAATAATGATAAATTATGAAGGATTTTCCTGGGACCGAGATGTTATATCGAGACAACCGAAATATCGAGTTCTCAGTTCGACACAATGGTGCCCGACTGTATATGGTGACAATCAGCATCATAGTACTATATAAAGGACCTTACTGGTAGTGACCATATCTCATATATATGCTACATTTACATTGCAAATCCCTATAGTAACACCTGACATGAGAAGCCTGTGGCCTGATATTTGTTACTTCTTGACCATGTCTTTACACACAGATATTGCAAACATTCTTCCTAAAAACCATTCAGGAATCAGCATCTGTACATATTCATCTTTGGTTTGGTTTTCTAGAATATCCAAATGCTCTAATATGCTTAAATTTTTCTGTTGGTCAAAAAGTTTCTTATATTTCTTTCTTTTCATTTTTGAGTAATTTTTTTAACTTCTAGGCGCTTGGAAACAGCAAGTTCCACACCCTGGCCCACCATGTGCTTATCGGAAACCAGGTGATTATCAGTGGGGCCGAGAAGTCACAGGTCAAGGCCATTCTGGCTGCTCTGAAGGTAGGTTACCATAGTGATGAAAACTAATCATTTACAAATACTCACATCTCATTAAAATCAGATCTTTTATTCAAAAAATATCCCCAAAATATTGTGTTGCACAACTTCTTTTGTTCAGTATATATCAAATAAATAAACAAGCACTCACTGACTCACTCTCTCACTCACTCCAGATGCTGCTGCCAAAGGGCTGTTGTCGGGCCATCACATACAGCAACACATACGAGGAGTCTTGGCGCTGCAACTTCCTCGGCCTGGCACTCAATGTCCCTCTCCCAAACCACACCATGTCCACGGAAATGTTCATCCTTGTGGAGGTCCTGAAAGGAGAGGGAGAAGAAGCTCCCGGCAGCTCACTGGAGTCAGACAAGTCACTCACAGACAACTGTTTCAGCAGTTTTAATTACCGCCTCAGCAGCCCTGTCCAGCTCCCCGAGAAAGGTGAGTTTGGCACACATTTTAGTTTGTGTTTATCGCATAGTATATTGCTCTCACCTACCTTTCTTCTTCACAATCGTTTGTGCACATTTTAGGAAGATTAAAATCCTAAAACAGTTTTACTTTCAAGGAGCCCAGGTGGCCCAATATCAATAATGCTGCAATTCACTCTGCAGAGTTGCATCCCTTGGGAATGCCTATGATTTTGGGTTCAAATCCTGGTTCCCCCGATTATGTTTCTAGGTTTGTCAGTACCATGCCAGTGTTTGTTGGTTTCACCAAGGAGTATATGTCTATAACACATTGTGCTTTCCTCCCAAAGCAAGCTTAAACTCAATGACATAGCTGGAATACTGTTGAAAGTGGTGTTGTCACTCACTTACTTTACAGGCATTCTCAAGTGAATAAGGGAAAGATCATATGGTAGTTAGACCATAGTCGGGCATTATTGTATGATTTTATTGGATGGCAATGATGATCTGGATGATTCACTGACACAGGCTATGGCAAAGAATCAAAATGTTCATATTTCTGACGTATATAATTAAAGTTGTGTCACTTCATAGTATCCTGTTGTGTACAGTGTTATGAAACATCCATGGCACATCATTGCTTGTCAAAAGAGGTGACAAAGATGAATCTGAACATGATTAGTGACTTGTTTGATGGCATATTGTCATATTCCAATCAATGTTGTTGGTTGCTCATAATATCAGTCACTGGTTTGTCTTGCAAACACTCAGTTATATACAGACTGGCATCACGTGGCTGAAATATTGCTGACTGTGCACAATACAAGAAAGAACCAGCCCTGAGTACATCAGTAACCTTGTCCTCCTGTGCCTGCAGCCCCCACTGTGCTGCAGAAGATGGAGATGGCCCTGAGGAACGAGAACCTGAGTGAGGAGGTGGTGGAGCAGTGCTTCATCTGCATCAAGGAGGAGTGGATGAAGTCAGTACACAGTCTATAGATGGGCATAGAGTCTATACTTAACCATAGAGTTCTTATATATCGGTAGCCATAGAGTCCTTATATAGCCATAGAGTATATAATTAGCCATAGAGTCCTTATATAACCATAGAGTATATAATTAGCCATAGAGTCCTTATATAACCATAGAGTATATAATTAGCCATAGAGTCCTTATATAACCATAGAGTATATAATTAGCCATAGAGTCCTTATATAACCATAGAGTATATAATTAGCCATAGAGTCCTTATATAGCCATAGAGTATATAATTAGCCATAGAGTCCTTATATAGCCATAGAGTCCATACATAGCCATAGAGTGCTTATGTAGCCATAAAGTCCATACATAGCCATAGAGTCCACACATAGCCATAGAGTGCTTATGTAGCCATAGAGTCCATACATAGCCAGAGAGTGCTTATGTAGCCATAGAGTCCACACACAGCCATAGAGTGCTTATGTAGCCATAGAGTCCTGGCCATACATAGCCATAGAGTGCTTATGTAGCCATAGAGTCCATACATAGCCAGAGAGTGCTTATGTAGCCATAGAGTCCATACATAGCCATAGAGTGCTTATGTAGCCATAGAGTCCATACATAGCCATAGAGTGCTTGTGTAGCCATAGAGTCCATACATAGCCATAGAGTGCTTATGTAGCCATAGAGTCCATACATAGCCATAGAGTGCTTGTGTAGCCATAGAGTCCATACATAGCCATAGAGTGCTTATGTAGCCATCCTGTCCATACATAGCCATAGAGTGCTTATGTAGCCATAGAGTCCACATAGCCATTCCATGCCATAGAGTGTTATCTAGCCATAGACTCCATACATAGCCATAGAGAGTGCTTATGTAGCCATAGAGTCCATACATAGCCATAGAGTGCACATAGCCATAGAGTCCACACATAGCCATAGAGATCTTAGAGTCCATAGAGTCATACATAGCCATAGAGTCCACATAGCCATAGAGTGCTTATGTAGCCATAGAGTCCACACATAGCCATAGAGTGCTTATGTAGCCATAGAGTCCACACATAGCCATAGAGTGCTTATGTAGCCATAGACACATAGCCATAGAGTCCACACATAGCCATAGAGTCCACACATAGCCATAGAGTCCACACATAGCCATAGAGTCCACACATAGCCATAGAGTCCACACATAGCCATAGAGTCCACATGTAGCCATAGAGTCCACACATAGCCATAGTCCATACATAACCATAGAGTCCACACACATAGCCATAGCCAGTCCTTACATAGCCATAGAGTCCATACATAGCCATAGAGTGCACACATAGCCATAGAGTCCATACATAGCCATAGAGTCCACACATAGCCATAGAGTCCACACATAGCCATAGAGTCCACACACATAGAGTCCATACATAGCCATAGTCCACACATAGCCATAGAGTCCACACATAGCCATAGAGTCCATACATAGCCATAGAGTCCACACATAGCCATAGAGTCCACACATAGCCATAGAGTCCACACATAGCCATAGAGTCCACACATAGCCATAGAGTCCACACATAGCCATAGAGTCCACACATAGCCATAGAGTCCACACATAGCCATAGAGTCCACACATAGCCATAGAGTCCACACATAGCCATAGAGTGCTTATGAGTCCACATATGGGAGTCCACACATAGCCATAGAGTCCACACATAGCCATAGAGTCCACACATAGCCATAGAGTCCATACATAGCCATAGAGTCCACTTAACATAGCCATAGAGTCCACACATAGCCATAGAGTCCACACATAGCCATAACCATAGTCCACACATAGCCATAGAGTCCATATGTCATAGCCATAGAGTCCATACATAGCCATAGAGTGCTTGTGTAGCCATCCTGTCCACACATAGCCATAGAGTCCATACATAGCCATAGAGTCCACACATAGCCATAGAGTCCACACATAGCCATAGAGTCCACACATAGCCATAGAGTCCACACATAGCCATAGAGTCCACACATAGCCATAGAGTCCACACATAACCATAGAGTCCATACATAACCATATAGAGTCCACATATATGCCATAGCCATGCTAGCCATAGAGTCCACACATAGCCATAGAGTCCTTATGTAGCCATAGAGTCCACACATAACATATAGCCATAGAGTCCACACATAGCCATAGAGTCCACACATAGCCATAGAGTCCACATGTAGCCATAGAGTCCATACATAGTCCATACATAGCCATGAAGTCTACACATAGAGTCCTTATCCACACATAGCCATAGAGTCCACACATCCATACATAGCCATAGAGTGCTTATGTAGCCATAGAGTCCACACATAGCCATAGAGTCCACACATAGCCATAGAGTCCACACATAGCCATAGTCCACACATAGCCACCATAGAGTCCATAGAGTCCACACATAGCCATAGAGTCCACACATAGAGTCCATACATAGCCATAGAGTGCCACACATGTAGCCATAGAGTCCACACATAGCCATAGAGTCCACACATAACCATAGAGTCCATAATGGAGTCCACAGAGTCCACACATAGCCATAGAGTCCAGTCCACACATAACCATAGAGTCCACACATAGCCATAGAGTCCACATATAGTCCACCATAGAGTCCACACATAGAGTCCATAGAGTCCACACATAGCCATAGAGTCCACACATAACCATATAGAGTCCACACATGTAGCCATAGAGTCCACACATAGCCATAGAGTCCACACCATAGAGTCCACACATAGCCATAGAGTCCATACATAGCCATAGTCCACACATAGCCATAGAGTACACATAGCCATAGAGTCCACACATAGAGTCCACACATAGCCATAGAGTCCACACATAACCATAGAGTCCACACATAGCCATAGAGTCCACACATAGCCATAGAGTCCACACATAGCCATAGAGTCCACACATAACCATAGAGTCCACACATAGCCATAGAGTCCACACATAGCCATAGAGTCCACACATAGCCATAGAGTCCACACATAGCCATAGAGTCCACACATAGCCATAGAGTCCACACATAGCCATAGAGTCCACACATAGCCATAGAGTCCACACATAGCCATAGAGTCCACACATAGCCATAGAGTCCACACATAGCCATAGAGTCCACACATAGCCATAGAGTCCACACATAGCCATAGAGTCCACACATAGCCATAGAGTCCACATAGCCATAGAGTCCACACATAGTCAGTCCACACATAGTCCACCATAGCCATAGAGTCCACACATAACCATAGAGTCCATAGCCATAGAGTCCACATAGCCATAGAGTCCACACATAGCCATAGAGTCCACACATAGCCATAGAGTCCACACATAGCCATAGAGTCCACACATAGCCATAGAGTCCACACATAGCCATAGAGTCCACACATAGCCATAGAGTCCACACATAGCCATAGAGTCCACACATAGCCATAGAGTCCATAGCACATAGCCATAGAGAGTCCACACATAGCCATAGTCCACACATAGCCATAGAGTCCACACATAGCCATAGAGTCCACACATAGCCATAGAGTCCACACATAGCCATAGTCCACACATAACCATAGAGTCCACACATAGCCATAGAGTCCACACATAACCATAGAGTCCACACATAGCCATAGAGTCCACACATATAGCCATAGAGTGCTTATGTAGCCATAGAGTCAATATGTAACCATAGAATCCACACATATTGTCCATAGTTAGCCATATAAATATCAGTAGAGTTTATAGATAGCCATACAGTCCATACTTAGCTGTATAATCTATACAAAGCCAGAAATATATGCATAGCCATGTGTCACACTTGTGTGTAGAGCCATACATGTTGCATGTGTTAATGGCAAGGGGACACAAGCATTCCTACATGTAATTTTCCAGTTTTCCATATGATCATTTCATTCTTATCTCCCCTTTCAGCAAGGTCAAGGTGCTGTTCAAGTTCACTAAAGCAGGAGGCAGTCGGTCGAAGGAAGACACCGAGAAATTGTTTAAAGTGGTTAACGCACAGGAGGAAGACAAGCAACTGCTCAAGTTCTGGATGACAGGCCTCAGTGTACAGTATCGGACCCACATTCTAGCATCTTCCAAGAATCAACACTGAAAGTGGTACACAGTTGTTCCTACCAAAGAGGCCTCAGTGTACAGTATCGGACCCACATTCTAGCATCCTCCAAGAATCAACACTGAAAGTGGTACACAATCGTTCCTACCAAAGAGGCCTCAGTGTACAGTATCGGACCCACATTCTAGCATCCTCCAAGAGTCAACACTGAAAGTGGTACACAGTCGTTCCTACCAAAGAGGCCTCAGTGTACAGTATTTGACCCACATTCTAGCATCCTCCAAGAGTCAACACTGAAAGTGGTACACAGTCGTTCCTACCAAAGAGGCCTCAGTGTACAGTATTTGACCCACATTCTAGCATCCTCAAGAGTCAACACTGAAAGTGGTACACAGTCGTTCCTACCAAAGATGCCTCAGTGTCCAGTATCGGATCCACATTCTAGCATCCTCCAAGAGTCAACACTGAAAGTGGTACACAGTCGTTCCTACCAAAGAGGCCTCAGTGTACAGTATCGGACCCACATTCTAGCATCCTCCAAGAGTCAACACTGAAAGTGGTACACAGTCATTCCTACCAAAGAGGCCTCAGTGTACAGTATCGGACCCACATTCTAGCATCCTCCAAGAGTCAACACTGAAAGTGGTACACAGTCGTTCCTACCAAAGAGGCCTCAGTGTACAGTATTTGACCCACATTCTAGCATCCTCCAAGAGTCAACACTGAAAGTGGTACACAGTCGTTCCTACCAAAGAGGCCTCAGTGTACAGTATTTGACCCACATTCTAGCATCCTCCAAGAGTCAACACTGAAAGTGGTACACAGTCGTTCCTACCAAAGAGGCCTCAGTGTACAGTATCGGACCCACATTCTAGCATCCTCCAAGAGTCAACACTGAAAGTGGTACACAGTCGTTCCTACCAAAGAGGCCTCAGTGTACAGTATCGGACCCACATTCTAGCATCCTCCAAGAGTCAACACTGAAAGTGGTACACAGTCATTCCTACCAAAGAGGCCTCAGTGTACAGACCAGACAGACTGGCTTCCTCCAAGAGTCAACACTGAAATGTCATAAAATATTGTCTCTACCACTGAGACATCAATGTGAACCACGAGAACCTCACATTTACATCCTTCAAGAGAATAAACTGATGTGTGATGCAACTTTGTTTTTACCATCGAATCCTAAGTGGTAAAATATTAGACTCACCTACTGATATCCTCAAAGAGTCGACACTACTTTGTGATTAAGTAACGTCTGAACCCATTGAGACAGAGTACCTTTCCAAGAACCTCACACTGACGTCCTCCAAGAGTAAACCCTGAAACCAGTTGATACGAATATATCCACCTTGGATGCACGCTTTATTGTGCAGGATCAGAGAATACATCGACATCTGACTGAAGGAGTATTGTTGGGTGAACCTGTAGTTAATGATTTTACCTGTCACACTTGTTACGGTTAAAAATTTGCTGTGACTAAAAGTTCCAGTGCAGGAAGAATGTATATTGTTTGAATCCTATGTGCTATGCTCACTGCCATATGACTGGAATGGTACTTGAAACAGCATCCACTCACTTTGAAAAGCATAAACTCCCGCAAACCAAGGTCATTACTGAAATGCACGCAAAGTATTTTCAATCTTGCTGAATCGGAGATTTAGGTCACGACTGGCCTGTACATTAAAATTCCCAGTTCATCTTCCAAATCATGCTCAATTCAAGCTTGCATAATAGGATAATCACACCGGAATTTACATAACCGCTGCATTTAACCCGGTGTACAGATCTGTACTATATCCTGTCACTGTACAGTCAACAGCGGATTGACAGTCTCGTGTCAGATCTCAGTCACCTCATTCAAGAGGACACAGATGGAAAGGGGTCACAGGCTGCCCAGTTACCTAAGTCACTACAGATCTATGCAGAGTTGTGTCCCTTAGACATGACAGGAAACTGTGATCAAGGTTTGAATCCCAGGTCTAGCCTGATTATGTTTTGGCAGCACAATACCTGGGCTCCTGGGTTCAAGAGAACTATATCCAGTTTGGTACCCACCTTGCCTTTGTTTTGTTTGGTCGAGATCTGTATTCTGGTTGTTGTTATAATCGTCTTTCCTATAAATGTACCTGTGATTTTGTTGGATATGTTGTAAATATTGTTTGCTATATAGAATAATAAAATGTTACAAGATATGTTGTAGTTCGTCATTGCCACAGGATTTGTGAAGATCCGGGGTAGAATAGGTCTTCAGCAACCCATGCTTGCCACAAAAGGCGACTATGCTTGTGGTAAGAGGCGACCAAGGTGATCGGGTGGTCAGGCTCGCTGACTTGGTTGACACATGTCATCGGTTCCCAATTACGCAGATCGATGCTCATGCTGTTGATCACTGGATTGTCTGGTCCAGACTTGATTATTTACAGACTGCCGCCATATAGCTGGAAGAGTGCCGCGTAAAACAAAACTCACTCACTCACTCTTTGCCAGACCGCCTCCGTGGTGTACTGGTTAGAGCGTCGGACCGGAGAGCGGAAGGTCGCGGATTCGATCCCGACCGCGTCATACCAAAAGGCGTTCAAATATGGTACTTGTTGGTCCCTGCCTGGCGCTCGGCATTAATGGGTACAACAAGGACTGGTCGGCTAGGAGTCAGTATAATGTGTCTGAGTGGGGTATTGATGCTTCACTGCGGCATGGTATCTCAGTGGGCTAGCACTATAAAACCAGCTTAACGGTAAGTCTGTGCTAGTACAAGCAGCTGCACATACACATACTCACGCATGCATGTCGTCATATGAGCGAAATATTCTCAAGCACGACGTTAAACCCAATTTCACCTCACCTCACTCTTTGCCACAGACATGTATGCGTGATCACTGTGTCCATATACTGACACACATTCACTAAAGGGGACCAAAGCCTTCAACAAACTCGCCTTCAAAACATTAGGAGAAATCCAGTAGGAGGTAACCACAGGCAGTATCAACGTGATGATGAAGCCTGAATTTAGTCATTTGATTTTGGTGAAAGAAATTGTCTTAGAAAATATCCCCTTTTGGGTGGGGAGGGAAATACTCTCTCGGGTTTTGCAAAAAAAAAAAAAGGTTGACAGATTGCTCACTGGATGACACTGAATATTGGTGAATCCATTGTGGGTTGATCTGTGATACACACCAAGAAACGTTCTAATCTGAGTTTGTAGCTGTGTAAGATGGCTATTATTTACTCACCTAAAGTCAATTGAGCTTATATTGTGTTAGTGCTAACCCAAGGTTGTCTGTTGTTTAACGCCTCACTCAGTAATATTCCAGCTATATGAGAGCGGCCTGTAAATAATCGAGTCTGAGACGGACAATCCAGTGATTAACATCATGAGCATATATCAAGGCAAATGGGATACGATGATATGTATCAACTAAGTCAGCAAGCCTGACACGTCGCAGCAAACACGGGTTGCTGAAGAACAGTGTAACAGTGATATTCGCAGGTTACAACGCCCGAAGATACATAAGCTGAAACTTGGGAGTCTCTTAAAACAATCACAGAATTATAAAACACCCATGGTACCATATATGGTGAGCGGAATAATGCATGTTCCAGTTTGATGAAACTTGCTGACTGCGGCATTTACAACATACACTGACTTGCACTTGATGGTCTGCATCGCTGAAACCTGTCCTGTTCTCACAATGTTCCACGTGTGATCAATATGCTGCGTAAGGTGTGTGAAACATAACAGACTGCTAGGAGGTTCATTAGATAGTATAAAACGACCAATACTTAGACACACGTCTATTAAATAAACACCCATTTTCTGGACCGGTAAGTGATGATTTTCGCCAAATACCAACGACTTTTTCACCACCACCCTAACCATTGGACTTCAATATTTATGTGCAACTTTTGTACCGCTTTCAGCAATATTCCAGCAATATCACGACAGACACCAGAAATGGGCTTCACACATTGTACCCATGTAGGGCATCAAACCCGGATCTTCAGCGAGACGAGCGGACGATTTAACCATTAGGCAATCCCATCGCCCCTGCGCCATACCAAACGTGCCTCGGTATAGCTACAGTACTAAAATAACAGCCCACGAAAGGAATGTCGACCATTGTCCTTATGGTAAAGTTGATGGAACGCATGGTCGTTTAATATGGCTGGAATATTGCTGAGTGCGGCGTAAAACTAAACTCACTCACTCATGGTCGTTTAATGTGAATAGTGAGTGAGTTTAATGTTACGCCGCTTTTAGCAATATCCCAGCAATGTGACGGCAGGGGACACCAGAAATAGCTTCACATTTTACCCATGTGGAGAACTGAACCCGGGTCTTCGGTTTGACGAGCGAACGCTTTAACCACTAGGCTACCCCACCCCATCAATTGAATAGAACTCTTGCAATCACTCAAAGTCGAAACTTGTAAATAAATAACAAAGCCATTGTTTTTAACTACAGCAGATGTTATTTCCATCATACAAAGAGTCGAATTATATTAAGATTTGTTTCCCCTGAACAATTTGGTAAAACGACGAAAGAATGATTTTGACTCTTGCACATTTTGTTTCTGATTACATTTTTCGACCATACCGACAGTACAGAATGAGATTACTTTGAGAGAGTTCACGATGTCTTGTTGACTTATTGTCTTGTTTAGGAGACACAGTGTGGTCAAAGCACGAGCTCTGTGTAGCCCCTGACATCTGAACAAGTCCAACGCCCTCTCCAGCTCCAGAATGTACACACAGTCTTTCAGTTCTCAACATGTCCACCTCCTTCAACAAGCGGTCCACCTGCTCCCCGAGGGACACTTTCTCATCCGACAGTTGTCTGATTTGTGTCTTGAAATGTTGGTTCTCCATTTTCAGACATCTTGAACGGAATCGAGCATCTCGTAGGTCAGCCCGGAGAGTGTCCACCTCGGCCAGGACAGCCGTCAGCTGCGCGTGGAGCTCGTGCTCTTTGACATGTTGTTGGTCCTCTTGACAACAGTCCCATTGGAATGGAGGCTGGGGCCGAATAGGTCTTGGTTTTATCGTGACGTGTTTGGGAACCATATCGTGGAACTCTGAAAACATAATTCGAATTAAGTACATAATCAATCCAAACGTAAGTCGTAAAAATTGGGACAAACACATCTACTGTGACTAAAAAAACCAAAATGAACAACAAAAAATCGAAAAGAAATATAACAGTTGATACAGAAACCATTTTGGAAATGAAGTTGCTGGGATAGGAAATTAAACATGTTCACGAAACACACACCTTTCAGTTCCTTGTGTTCGAAACACTCCGCCACCTTGAAATGAAACCCCTCACACTCGGACATGGGCAGACGTCCGGCGACTGGTTTTGGTTTTATTGTGACGTGTTTGGGAACCGCATCATGAATCTCTGAAATAACAGAATTTGGTAAAGATTAAATAAATGACAAATGGAAAGCAAATATCGCATATTCATCATTCCTATGAGTGAGTGAGTTTAGTTTTATGCCACCTTTAGCAATATTCCAGCAATCTTCCCTATGATATGCAGGAAGTAGTAGAAATAGATTGTCAGACCCTTTTCAGCTGAAACAAACGAAGTTATAGGGATGAACTTTGTTATATATATAAGTATATTATTACATATACAGAACGCTTACCTGTCGGTTCTGTAAGTGCAAAACACTCCGCCACCTCGGGATCAAACCCCTCACACTCGGACACGGTCAGACGTTTGGTGACTGGCATAATCTTGAGATAATCTCGATAAATGAAGAGCGTACTGCAGAGCTGCTGTAGCTGGCTGAGACAATGTCAGATAATGGCGTGACGTCACAATATCAACTAATGATGTCATAGCGATCTCCAGTCGGTAGTTTCCGTTTGGATTATCCATCTTCGACATATTTCGCCCTGATCGTGTTCCGATTGTGACATGTCAGCTTTAACATACAATGCTCACTAGATGCTCCTTTATCTTCCGCAAGATGATGATACTTTTTTCTGAACCATCATTATATCATGAACAAATAACAAAAATTAAATGAATGAATAGGAGAAATTTCCATGTGGTTTTTTTCGAATGACTTTGTTTTCTGGAAGGGATTATTTGAACTGTGTGCAATGTGATATTGTCATCAGTGAATTGGCATTTCCCATTTCTGTTCCGATTGCGACATATAAGCCTTAACATATATAAAATGATCATAAAATGATTTTTGTTCTGTGGTATAATGTTGTTACTTCTCCTAAAATATCATATTTTAGCACATACCTATTGATTATTCATGACATTACCCTAAAACCTGTAAAAGGAACTTAATGCAATGTAAACTGTAATTTTGATATCTCTCCAGAATTACAGTGATTTACAAATTTGAACTTTATAAGCTTTTTCAACCAACAACTTGAAAAGTATTTTGTTCAACCATACCTTGAACACATTTGAATGGATTGTTTTCAATTTTGGGGATCACCCTCCATATCTATAGGAGAGATGCATTGTATTTTGTAATTTTAATTTATATAATGTTTAAGTTGCATCTCTTGAACTCAAAGTCAAAGTTGTTGATATTAACAATTATCTAATGGATTATTTTCAGATTTGAGTAATGGATTCTTTGTTTATAGGAAAGGTGCTGTACAACGTTTGATACAGATCTACTATGTGACCATTTTTTATTTATTGTTGTACAGCTGAAGTTGGGAGTCGGGGGTAATAGTGAGCGGTGCTCGCGTTTCTCTGGCCTGTTTGAATTGTGAGCTATGTGATCGGTGGTTTGTCCTTTTCTCAATTGTTCTTTTATCTCTAAATATATGCTTGCTCAGAAATGCCTGATTGGAATGTTTATAAAATTAATAGGTAAAAAGCCCCTTCTGTGTTACAGGTAAAGTGAATGAGTGAGCTGGGTGAAGGCCGCCCTGAATAATGTTTCAGTTAAGTTGCGAGTGCCAAACGTTTGATAAAAGTTATGCAATATGAAAGTTCAGTATCTCTTCTAGCTTCTGGCTTCCATAGACGACATTGATGCATGGAAACATGCATAGCCTTCCTAATCAGTCGTCCATGTCTTGAAAGGTGAAATTTGTATGGAAATTTGTTTCTTTAACATTCTAACCGTCTTTCTTAATAAATTATATTTTACGACAATAATATATGGAAGTTAATGTTAATTATGAGGAATGTCCTCTAAAGCCATAAGGGGGCGGTGGGGTAGCCTAATGGTTAAAGCGTTGGCTCGTCACGCCGAAGACCCGGGTTCGAATCCCCACATGGGTACAATGTGTGAAGCCCATTTCTGGTGTCCCCAGCCGTGATGTTGCTGGAATATTGCTAAAAGCGGCGTAAAACTAAACTCAGTCAGTCAGTCTAAAGCCATAAGAAGAGATAGGGCGGCTTTATGTAATGGGTCAGTCTATTTATGATTGATACACACTAAAGGCGCCTTCCGGGGAAGAAAATAACTTTTGTCAAATTTCGATTGATTGATTGGTTTGTTGTTTAACGCCACACTCAGCAATGTTCCAGGTATATAGTGGCGGTCTTTTTCTCAGTTCTTCTTTATCTGTAAATGCCAGATTCAAATGTTGAGAAAATTAATAGGTAGAAAACACCCTTCTGTGTCACAGGTGAAGTGTGAGTTGGGTGACGGCCGCCCTGAATAATGTTTCAGTTAAGTAGCAGGATGTCGGAGAAACGTTTGATAAAGGTTATGTAATATGAAAGTTAAGAAGCTCTTCTAACTTCTAACTTTCATACATGCGTGCTCCATACACGTACACAGAATACCCTGGTAATTTTGGTCAGAAAATGTTGGAGTCAAGCCTGTAGGAAGGACTTTTTACATGCAAACCTTAGGCGATGAATATTTTACAACCCCTTGACGGCAATCACAGTACGATAAAGTTACAATATTTCGGCTTTATCATGGTGTACCAGCTGAAGATAAAAGATGAACGAGAATCATTACGCAGTGGAAATTTTAGTGGTGTGGAGCTCCGTTATGGTGTTGCAAACACGAATTGGAAGGCATGATAAAGATTCCTCAGATATATACTCTTCAAATAAAGAAATACAAAGTCAAATTGATAATGGAGTTTCTTGATAATTTCGTCTCCTCCGGCGTCTTCATGAGTCAACTCTCCTGGAAAGAAGATCGTAAAAGACTCTGTCATGGAATACGAGAAGTCCTCATGGAACCAACGAATGACATCAGATCCAGATCTCAGACACTTCAGGACATTACACCCCTCCATAGAGCCACACCCAGCTTGGCTACTTGCCAAAAGATACCCCTTCTTGAAACAACAATGCCTCTTCATAGTGCAGATGTGTGTTCTCTGGCGTCCTTGCCGTGTGTATGGACCTTGTGATAAATGTAGTGTGAACTGTGCAGACCTCCTGATCCATGTCCTAACATCGCGTGAAGCTTGTGCTGGCTGCAGAGACCAACTCTGGTGTGACATTATCAACGAGTGCCCAGTGGAGTTGAGCGTGGAACTACACAACAGGACTGATATGGACCTGGTGTGCAGCCTGCTGCCCTGCCGTCCCCCAGTTAAATTGGTTTATTCAATAAAGGGGCCACAGGCCCATTATACAGTTACATGAGTCATATCATGAAAGTGGAAAATCTGGAGCGCCATAGCACTGTACAAGATACATCAATAAACATACACTTAATGGGTTGTACAAGTTTTGTTAAGGTAATTGTTACGTTGTTTGAATGCAAGGAACAAAACTTCGCTAAACGATTTAAAATACCTGAATCGTGTGATGTGCAAAGTAATACCAGTTTGTCATAAGAAGGATGAGTACAATAGAACTCAGGCAAAATTGTATGTCTGAGATTATAGTAAAAAGGACATTCCAAACATATGTGATATTCTGTCTCAATTACAGGTATAACACAAAATGGACATAATCTAGAATTTCTTGCCAGACCAGATTTTCTTCCAGACTCTATCATTTACTGATGGCCTGAACAGCGAAATATACTAAGAGCCTTACGATAAGCTGGTACGTCCAGACAAGTTAAGTACACCTCTCTCTCAGAGTACTGCTTTCTGGCGAGGAGGCTGAGCTGTACACACTGACTGTTGTTAAAGGACTCTATGCGACCTATACTGCATGAATATTCTACGCGTCTCTATTGATAACTTAAACTTATCTTAAAGGTCACATGCAACGTAAAACACAACTTTGCAGATTCTGATACCTTTCGGTATGGACTTACCGAAACAAAGCGTCAAAAATGCAAATTCAACTTATAAAGTTGAAAAATAACGCGATGAAAAATAACGCGCGTAATCAGAGTTCAAACGTTTCACTAAGTTTCCCCAGACTTTTCTGGGGAATATGGGTTTCAACAGCTGGGCTGCGCTGATAGCACGTGCGCAGTGAAATAGGTTCGCGCAACTTGGAAGCGGGCTGTCTGGTGAATACTCGGTGAAGGCTTTGGTGTGAGCTATTTTCCTAATGTTTTGTTGATATCTCACAGGCGCGAGCTTTTTATATGTTATGACAGTAAATGAACTGTTTATATAATTTCATTTGTCTATTTCACCACACGTTCTTCTTACCGAGTCACTTTCTCAGTTCGATGCTTAAAAGCAATGTCATTATTTAGCGTTGACACAATTTCTAACTGTGATATAGATATGTCGCTGTCACAGACAAAATTCAATGTCTTGTTTTATTGACAGTGGGGGGTCTGCCTGCCTGTCTGCTAATGACAATATTCAATACACAACTGCGATCACTGACCACATGCAATTTGAACTTAACACCAATCAGGCTATACACCATAAACAAAACACATTGATTTATGGCCCGAGTTCGGTCTCTGTCACATTATGTAATTACACAGACAGGCAGGTGTGATACTTGAACACATGACATGTTATGATGTCTGTTGATTGCAAAATGTTATACACAAAAAATGAGCATGTATATACAAAACCCAATATCTCTATATATACGCACACAATGAGCCGGCGGCATCTGCTAATGAACCAGCCGTTACACTTGAGTGCACACCCACCCGCTCTGACTGGGTTCGGTATCCCGGCTGCTTCGTTTCGAGGGAGGTAAACCCAAGTACAAAATATTGCACTTTTGATTTGCGATTATACGCTTATAATTTTGTTTATTTGTTTTTTCATAATCAGCAATGCATATTATATGTCATGAAGAAGTGATAATTGTGTGTTAATTATGTATGATTTTTTGGTTGCATGTGACCTTTAACTTATCGCATTCCCTTGTACTCTCCATTGGAGGAATAAAAGTGTATATATGTCTGAAATTATTGAAACTTTGTACACTTAAAGACTGACTGACTGAGTTTAGTTTTACGCCGCTTTTAGCAATATTCCAGCAATATCACGGCGGGGGACACCAGAAATGGGCTTAACACATTGTGCCCATGTGGGGAATCGAACCCGGGCCTTTGGCGTGACGAGCCAACGCTTTAACCACTAGGCTACCCCACCGCCCCGTACACTTAAAGAAGCCAGTCGAAAGTCACCAACAGTGGAGTCCATGGTCACTAGGTCAGGTTTAACGTCACTCTTCCGTCAATAACGGTATGCCCTCCGTGTGCATCAATATCCGCTTGGCACCTCATGCCCATGGAAGCGATGCGATTACGAATCACATCCTGGGGAATGGTTGTCCACTCAGCTTGCAAAGCTGCTGAGGTAAAGTCTGTGGTTGAGGTTGTCGCCGTCGCAAACGTCGGTCCAACCCGTCCCAACGATGTTTGATGGGGTTCAAATCTGGTTCAAAGAACAGAACGTTGATGTAC